AAACAGTTTCCAAGAAGTCAAGAGGCCCTGAGGAAAAGATACGAGTTTGGTGGCCGGATGATCTAGATTTGAAATTTGACATGGCCACTTGTTAAACTTATACTCTGGAACTACTTGCCTAATTCCTCTGGTTCTGTTTCCTGTGTCATTAAATGTCAAGAGAATCCGTAGAAAAGTTGTTAAGAGCGATGGTTCAAATCTGGCTTAAGGGAATTCAGTGAATGGTGTTTTCTTTCTTTTCCTTTTTTTTTTTTTTTTCCTCTTGCTGAAATCATCCAAAAGAGAGCCAGATGACCCTTGACTCTTGCTGGACCTGGGGTGGGTAAGCAGGGCCTGGGCCTTAGATCCTGAGCTCTGAGATCCAGCCCCTCAGGCATCTGCCTTTTTCTCTCTCCAGGCCCTGGTGAGTCAGAGAAGGTGCAGCAGCTAGAGCAACAGGTAAAGAGCCTGACTAAAGAGCTGCAAGGCCTTCGAGGTGTCCTGCAGGGAATGAACGGGCGCCTGGCAGAAGATGTTCAGAGGGCTGTGGAGACAGCCTTCAATGGGAGGCAGCAGCCAGCAGACGCAGCTGCCCGACCCGGTGTACATGAAACCCTCAATGAGATCCAGCAGCAGCTGCAGCTCCTGGACAACCGTGTCTCCACCCATGACCAGGAGCTAGGCCACCTCAACAACCATCACAATGGACGCACTGGCGGGGGTGGCAGGGCCCAAGTCCCTGTCCCAGTTCCTTCTGGCCCCAGTGAGGAGCTGTTAAGGCAGCTGGAACGGCAGCTACAGGAGTCTCGCTCAGTGTGCCTGGCAGGACTGGACGGCTTCCGCCAGCAGCAGCAAGAGGATAGGGAGCGGCTGCGAACACTGGAGAAGCTGCTCTCCTCCGTGGAGGAGCGGCAGCAGCAGCTCATGGGGCCTGCCATGGCCAGGAGACCCCCTCAGGAATGCTGCCCCCCAGAGCTGGGTCGGCGACTGTCGGAGCTGGAGCGGAGGCTGGATGTGGTGGCCGGCTCAGTGACGGTGCTGAGTGGACGCAGAGGTTCTGAGCTGGGAGGAGCAGCGGGGCAGGGGGGCCACCCCCCAGGCTACAGCAGCTTGGCCTCCCGCCTTTCTCGCCTGGAGGACCGCTTCAACTCTACCCTAGGTCCCTCAGAGGAGCAAGAGAAGGACTGGCCTGGAGGACCAGGCAGGCTGGGCCGCTGGTTGCCTGCTGCTCCAGGACGGCTAGAAAAGCTGGAGGGGCTACTGGCCAACGTGAGCAGGGGGCTGGGTGGTCGCCTAGATGTGCTGGAGGAGCAGGTGGCAGGGGCTGTACAGGCTTGTGGACAGATCTGCTCTGGGGGCCCCGGGGAACAGGATTCTCGGGTCAGTGAGATCCTCAGTGCCTTGGAGCGCAGGGTGCTGGACAGCGAGGGCCAGTTACGGCTCGTAGGCTCAGGCTTGCACAAAGTGGGAGCAGCAGGGGAGGCCCAGCAGGCTGCGTTGGAGGGATTGCAAGGGCTCCTGGGCCGCCTTCAGGAGCGCATGGATGCGCAGGAGCGTGAGGCCACGGAACTCTCACTGCGCCTCAATCTTACGGCAGCCCAGCTAAGTCAGCTAGAGGGTCTGCTGCAAGCCCACGGGGACGAGGGCTGTGGTGCCTGCGGTGGTGTCCAGGAGGAGCTGGGCCGCCTTCGGGATGGCGTGGAACGTTGCTCCTGCCCACTGTTACCTCCACGGGGACCTGGAGCTGGTCCAGGTGTTGGGGGACCAAGCCGAGGGCCTCTGGATGGTTTCAGTGTGTTTGGGGGCAGTTCAGGCTCAGCACTCCAGGCCCTTCAAGGAGAACTCTCTGAGGTCATTCTCACCTTCAGCTCCCTGAATGACTCCCTGCATGAACTCCAGACCACTGTGGAGGGCCAGGGTGCTGACCTGGCTGACCTGGGGGCTACCAAGGACAGCATCATCTCGGAGATCAACAGGCTACAGCAGGAGGCCACGGAGCACATGACAGAGAGCGAGGAGCGCTTCCGGGGCCTGGAGGAGGGCCAGGCACAGGCCGGCCAGTGCCCCAGCTTAGAGGGGCGATTAGGCCGTCTGGAGGGAGTCTGCGAGCGACTGGACACTGTGGCAGGGGGCCTCCAAGGCTTGCGTGAAGGCCTTTCCAAGCATGTGGCTGGGCTCTGGGCTGCGCTACGAGAAGGCAACAGCACCAGCGTGACGCAGGCCGCGCTATTAGAAAAGCTGCTGGGGTCCCAGGCAGGCCTGGGCAGGCGGCTTGGTGCCCTCAACAGTTCCCTGCTGCTCCTGGAAGACCGTCTGCAGCAGCTCAGCCTGAAGGACTTCACTGGTGAGAACAGAAGGCGTGAGGGGGAAATCTCCCTTCGAGCCCTGTGTTATCCCCTTCCTCTCTACAACAGCCAGCAAGGAGGCCTGCTTCCACCCACCTCTTCACTCTGCCCCAGTTGTAGACCCTACTGCTCCTGGGGGGAGGGGGGTTGAAGTGTGTCTGCAGAGAGGCTGCCAGGGTGTGGCTCCCTGTCCTCCCTCTGGTGGCTTAGATGGGCCTTTGAGTGGAGCTTGGATATGGCTTGCGCTGGAGTGTGGCTGTGGCGGCCAGGTGCCTTGCCGCAGTACAAGGGACCATGTCTCCATCGTTCCTCTAAGCCCACCTGTTCCACCCATCTTCCTTCCCGTGGAGCCACCACCTTTCCCATCCCTTAGAAGCTCCCTTTACAACTCTTCATCTCGGTTTCGGTTTTGTTACCCTAGGACCTTCAGGGGAGGCTGGGCCCCCTGGGCCTCCTGGGTTACAGGGACCTCCAGGCCCCGTGGGACCTCCAGGACCTCCTGGCAAAGATGGACAAAGGGGGCCCATCGGACTGCCAGGTACGTGGGACAGGGTGTTCAGCCAGGGTGTCCACTCTCCCGGCAGCCCAGGCGTAGCACTGAGCTCAACTGAGAAGTGGAAAGGGGCAAGGGAACGGAGGCTCCCGAAGTCTAGCAGTGAAAAGAGAAGAAAGTGACTAGGAGCTGAGATGGCCGTTTGGCTCCTGGGCATTTTGGTCTCCCTGCCATCTTGCAGATTAATGCTTAGCCCACAAGGGCCACTCCGGGTATGAAAAGCTCAAGGCTAAGGCTATGGCCCAGCAGCTGCACAGACTGGACCTTACTTGTGTTTTTCCTGGCACCTCGTTCCTGCCTGGAAACACACCTACCACCCAGAGCACTACAAGACAGCCGATGTGTGCCGAGTGGCATAGGAAGAGATGCCCTACTCACTGTTGTCCCCCTTTCTCCCCACAGGTCCTCAAGGTGAGCAGGGTAAGTTCTCATTAGACCCTGGAAGGGGAACGGAGCTGGGGCCTGGAGCAGGATACCCCTCAGGCAGCCTGGGGACGGAGGCTGGGGTTTAGGAGCATCCATTCTAACTAGCGCTCACTCCATGCCTCTTCAAGGAGTGGAGGGAGCACCAGCAGCCCCGGTGCCGAGGGTGGCATTTTCAGCTGCCCTGAGTTTGCCGCGGTCAGAACCTGGCACAGTCCCCTTCGACAGAGTCCTGCTCAACGATGGAGGCTACTATGACCCAGAGACAGGTAACCCAGGAAGGCTGGGCTGAGCGGTTGAGGAAGTGGGTCAGGCTGGGCGGTGCTAACGCCCCATTCACGCCTCTGCAGAAAAGCTCATCTTTTCATTTTGTAATTAGAAAGACCTCCACTCTCTCCATGCCTTCTCACCACAGCTGGGCGGGGAGAGAGTGGGGAGAGGAGGAGATCTTATTGGGACGGACTCCAATAAAGATCACACCCTGCAGCCGCTGCGGGAGACGCAACAGCCGCTCCCCTACAGTAGGCAGTCTAGTGGAATAGCAGTGAAAGGACGGTGGGCCTCCCCACGGTCCAGGAGTGCTGCGCCCAGTCTCTGAGAGACCTTCCTTGTCCCAGCCATCATCTCCCCTCTTGACTGTCATCCTTGTTCCCAGGTGTATTCACTGCGCCACTGGCCGGACGCTACTTGCTGAACGCTGTACTCACTGGACACCGGCACGAGAAAGTGGAGGCAGTACTGTCCCGCTCCAACCTGGGCGTGGCTCGCATAGACTCAGGAGGCTACGAGCCAGAGGGACTGGAGAATAAGCCTGTGGCTGAAAGTCAGCCCAGCCCCGGCGCTCTGGGCGTCTTCAGCCTCATCCTGCCGCTGCAGGTCGGAGACACGGTCTGCATCGACCTGGTCATGGGGCAGCTGGCACACTCGGAGGAGCCGCTCACCATCTTCAGCGGAGCCCTGCTCTATGAGGACACAGAGCTCGAACAGGTGTAGACGGGGTCCGCCCAGACACCAAACTTATCTACAGGGGCAGCAGAGCCCTCTGGGTGGCGGCTCCCCACCAAGGCTGGGGCAAGTCCGGATACCACAGCCCGCTGCAGTTCATGCATCCAGAGAGGCCACTGCGGACGCCGGGACACCGTGGTCCCCGGGACCTAGGCGTCTCCTCTTGACTTTTGACCTCACTGCCGTCCCCACCAGAGCCATCTCCAGGACCCGGGCTGCGGAAGAGGAACCGACCCTTACACCCTTTGCTTCCTCAATCCTCGGGGTCCAAGGCTTCCCGAGCCCACACCACCCTACTAAACTATTCAGGAATAAAGACACTTGGGTTTTTTGTTTTTTTGTTTTTTGTTTTTTTCCTCCTACAAAACATAGTTATTCTGCGCCGGTACATGCTCAAGGGTAGATCAGGGGCAGGACTGGAGGAGACACAGTCCTGTGGAGGGAACCTTGGCTCGTGCTGTCGAGGCGCGCTCCCTCCGCGACCCGGCCGCCGGTTCCCCAGCGACCGCCAGGGGCCGCTGGGCTAGAATCACCCGGCCGTCTGGCAGGGTTCTCTGTCACGTGATGTCCACTAAACTGGAGGGGGCGGGGCCTCGACCGGGAAGGGTGGGCCGCGGGGCGGGGGATGGCGGGCTGAGCGTGTGCTTCGGTGCTCCGCCTACGGAGGAGGGCTTTCTGTTGGCCGACCGAGCTAGTCTGGGTGGTCCAGGGCACTGCAGGGTAGCGGGCGCAGGGGGACCGCAGAGGCGATGCGTTGTTAGCAGAGCGCTTTCGCTCTGCGTTAGCGGGATCGCCTGGCCCGCCTCATTCTGGCAACCGAGGCGGAAAAGTGAGAGGTTCCACCATTGGCCGGACCCGTTAACCCCTGGCAGCTGCGGGAGGCTCCCTGCAGGAGGAGCTCCGCGCGCGGAGGAGGAGCCAGGGTAGCCCCTGAGAGGTTGGGACGCCGTCCTCCGGTAGATAAGAAGCAGAGGCCAGCAGGAATCCCCTCCGCTTGCGGGTTAGGAAGCTTGGGGAGCAGCCTCATGGAAGAGAAGCAGATCCTGTGCGTGGGGCTGGTGGTGCTGGACATCATCAATGTGGTGGACAAATACCCAGAGGAGGACACGGATCGCAGGTAGGGGCGCCCAGGCCCCTCGGAGACCCCCAGCTCCGCTGTCGCCCTGTCTTTGTGCCTGTCCCCCTCCCCATGCAGTGAGGCGTGAGTCCAGCCTAGAGTGTGGGTGCTCCCTGCCCAGGAGGCCTAGGGGTTCTCCGCAGGCGTGAAGACGTGAGACTGCAGGCTCTTTTTTTTTTTTTTTTTTTTTTTTTTTGCCGGGGGCTTGCTATGTCAAGCTGTCCTAAACTACTCCTTTAGCCTCCGACATTAACAAGAGTGCAACAAAGACTGCGCCTGGGTCAGACCTAGGCTTTGCCTGGTACTGTTAGCTGGGTCCTATTTCAACCTAGGAGCGCGCCGATCATCAGAACCCTCGTTTTAGAGAGTGGGCTTGAAATATCTTTTTTCCTCCTAAGGGCACACACCTGATAAGGTGCCAGACACATTTTCCTCAGTATCCCCACCACCCAAATCCAAGCCTATGCACTTCTAATTTACTGTCTACAGCTAAAATAAAACACGAGGTAGGTAACTGTGAGGGGCGTGTGCAATTAAATCACTCACAAACATTTAACTACCGGCGTTTGAGCCTTGCCTAGCTCACGGGCTGGCAGGCAGTGTAAGCAAAGCTGGAGCCTCGCTGGGTTAGGTAGGGAGAAACTTGGCTCAAGAGCCACAGCAGGCTTTTCCCTGGAATTAATGCCTAAAGGAGTCTACCAGAGGTCATCTAACAAAGATGGATAAACGCCTTAGAACGGTCTCTGTTGTCTGGTGGAGGCTGAAGTGTCCTTTGATGGTCCTTATCTGTACGCTTGATAAGGGCCCCTCCACCGTGCTGCCAGGCTGTGAAGGCATTGCTGTGGAGTGGAACATTGGCTTTCCCTAGTCTAGTGCTTTGGGCAATGGAGATTGCATCTTGGATATTAGTTGTCCCGGCAAAGAACTGGATGAAAGGAAGTACAAGGCTGACCTTGTGGCAAGACACTAGCGTGCTGACAGCACTGAACTTTCCCGGTTGGGAGGTTTGGTGCTCTTTGGGCTTTGGATCCAGGTAGTACTTACTATCCCTGTACTGTCTCAGGCTCCGCCCCCCTCCTTAGATGAGGAAGCAGAAGATCTGGAGGGGCCAAACTGTTTTTCAATCCACATAGTTAGCAAGTGGCATGATCACAGCTCATGTCTCCAAGTTCAGTGTGCTGCTCTAGCTCTCCTCTGCCCTACTCGTTCTGTCTCTGTTGCTGCCTGTCTCATGGAGTTTACCCTTTGCTTTGAGTTGCTCTGTTTGCCCGAGGTTAGAGCCCTTACCGGGGGAACAGCGATGGTGGTGAAGGAGTACAGGGTGTTTAGTTGTGTAGACCCAATCTACTTACCAAGGTAGAGCCATCCCTGGTGCTCCGAGGGGACATTAGGCAGGCTCTCTCCTTTAAAAGATTGATTTGTTTTATTTTTATATGCATGAGTGTGTCCATCGCATGCAATCCTGGTGCCTGAAGAGGTCAGAAGGGGGCACTGGATCCCCTGGAACTAAGTGCAGATGGTTGTGAGCTACAATGTGGATTCTGGGAGTCGAACCTGAGTCTTATGCAAAAGCAACAAGTTCTCCTAACTGCTAAGCCATTTCTCTCTCTCCCCCTTCCTTTCCCCCCAAAAAACTGAGTTTCTTTGTGTAGCTTTGGCTGTCCTGGACTCATTTTGTAGACCAGGCTGGCCTCAAACTCACAGAGATCAGCCTACTTCTGCCTCCCAGAGTGCTGAGGTTATAGGCCTGTGCCACCATGCCCGGCTGCCCCCCTCCCCTTTAAGGGTTTATTTATTTTTATTTTATGTGCATTGGTGTTTTACCTGTGTGTATGTCTGTGTGAGGGTGTCAGACCACCTGGAGCTGGAGGTACAGACAGTTTTGAGCTGATGTGTGGGTTCCGGGAATTGAACCCAGCTCTTCTGGAAGAATAATAGCCAGTGTTCTTAACCGCTAAGCCATCTGTCCAGCCCCATAGTTCAGATTTATTTATTTTTTTGTATGAGTATTTTCTCTCAGTGTGTATGTACCTGGCACCTAACAGACATGAGAAGAGGACTTTGGATGCCCTGAACTGGAGTTACAGATGGTTGTGAGCCACAGCATGGGTGCTGGGAATCGAACTCCGGTCCCCTGAAAGAACAACAAGTGCTCTTAATCACTGAGCCATCTCTGTAGCCCTAAGGTTTCTTTTATTCCAGGAAAACATGCATATTTCAGGCTCCACGGTACCACATTCTGCTAGCCTGAAGACCCCATTTCCTTGAGTTTAGTGAAAGACTAAGCTCAGCTGATAGGATACCGGATGTTCCTCTGTAAGAGCCCCTTCCCTTGTTTGTCAGTTTCCTGGTCTCAGAACGTACCCCCCTCAGCAGACCTGTGTTTCTGTTTAACATCCTTGTTTCTGGACTCTGTTGAGTCCCCCAGAAGAGCAAGAATGAGTAGGACTCAGTCCTTCCTGACATCTCAGCCCTATCTGACCCAGGACTCTCAGAAGTTGGGGTTTGTAATCAGAGATGACCTGAGAAATGGTTCCTGTTTCTCAGAGTCCATGCTGAGTAAAGCCTTCCAAGCGGGGGAGGAACCCTTGTCCCAAGTACTTCTCCACAGTTTGATGCTTCAGTATGACTTTGAAGGGTTTCACTGTGAAATCTCATTGCGACTGAGGAGGGGATGGCCCAGAGTTAAGAGAGCCCTCAAACTGAGATGGCCCCACCCAGCAGGTAGATTCCTAATTCCCTAAAACTAGGTGGACGCAGCTATGCCCTTGAATACAGCCCAAGATGTGAGGACAGACCCCATCCTCAGTTCCTTCCCATGACTGAGCCTCAGCAGCTCCATTTAGAACAGGAGCTGAAACTCAGACATATCCCAGCTCTTGCATTCTTCGGACTCCTTCATAGGGGACTGAGTTTGGTCCTGCTACCCCCACTCCGGGGTGGTGGAGGACCCATTCGGCTGGGGCCGCAGGGACTTGCCGTGTGCTTTACAGGTGCCTGTCCCAGAGGTGGCAACGTGGAGGCAACGCATCCAACTCGTGTACTGTCCTGTCCCTGCTTGGAGCCCGCTGTGCCTTCATGGGCTCCTTGGCCCCTGGCCATGTTGCCGAGTAAGTTTAGATGGAAGTTCCTGGCACAGGGATGCTTGCCTGCAGGGTGTAGGGAGAGGAGAGCTGCCTGAACCCCGAGTGGGCAGGATGGAAGCATGGTTGGTGGGTGGTGGCCTACAGGAGAGTCCAGACTCCTTGATCCTTCTGGGGTGGTCTGTCTGCTGTTCGGAGACTAACATCACTCCTGTAAGGGTTTCCTCTCTACAGCTTTCGGATCCTGCTCACGCTGCCCACCAGCTCCTCCGTTGCTTTCTGTAGACTCTGCCTGTGCCCTTCCCACATCCCCTATCCTGGCTGTGTTTGAGGTAAAAGGCAGTTAGAGACATGCTGTGCCCTTCTCCACCTCAGGGGTATCCATCATCCATGGATGAAGGCCCGCAGTTGAGAATTAGGGCCGCTGCTCAGGTCTCCATTGTAAGTACTAAGAGTACACTCCTCAGGACATCCTGGGGTCACATGTTAACATGGGCCCCAAGCCCATTTGCTCTGGAGGCTGCCATCCACAAGTGACCCATGCGCCTTCTCCATGTCAACTACTGCAGGGACCCAAGAGCCCTTTGACTCCTGGCACTGTCAACTCAGCACACGCTTATCAGGAGGTGTGGCCCACACTTTGCCCACTGTGGGCACTGGAGCAGACTGCCAGGCTACTGGACTGTAAAGCACAATAGCCCTTTGAACCCTAGTTTGAGGGGGTTGTTGCCAGCCAAATTTCCAGTCTTGGAGAACTGGGACAAAGCTAATAGAGTGAGAGACGTTGGAGATGGGACAGTAGTTCCTTCCTTGGTGGAGGCAGGACCCCAGTCCTTCTTCAGGATGGTTGACTCTCCTATACGGAGCAATCATTTTGGTGGGTGAGCCATTTAGAATTCTCTATGCATTCAGCAAACATTTCATACACCAGGCACTGTGGGTTCAAAAAGTCAGTTAGCAAACCAAGCCATATTTCTAATGCTTTGGGGTGGAATGATGAAGGGGCCCTTGAGTTGTCAGGTCAAGGGATGATGCCTTGTGTGGGTGCCATAACCCTGTCCAGCTTAGGTGCTACTTACTGAATGGGAGGTCTGCTCACAGTGTGAAAGCCCAGGAAGGCTGCGCTGCTGGGCACAGTTGCTAGCTGGGATTTCCTGGCAGGAGAGGGACTGGCTTCCTTGCTGTTCCTCTGGGCTAATCTTGAAGTGATGTCCCTGGACTCATTCTAACTAGAAGGAAGTATGTGAAACCATGCTGGATCAGGCCCATATTTAGGGACCTCCCATAACTGTACCAGCTCATGAGCCAGAGGGGTTCGGGTTTGGATTAAAAAGCTGGATTGCTTTTACAAGATGCCAACAAACAGGTCCCCCAAGCAATGACATTTTCTGGGTGGTTGGACCAGAGGAAATGTAAGATGAGGTACCATGGCAAGATTGGAGGGGACCCCAGAAAGCAACATGCCATGAGGATGAACACGTAGACGGCAGCTGAGAGGGGTGCAAAGTATCACATTGGTGATTAATTATTAATTCTGCCCGGTCTTGCAAGAGCCAGGCCACAGTACCCACATGCATTTAGGATTTAGGCTCTCAGCCTCAGATCTCCCCCTGTCCAGCATTAAAGGTTGTGGGGCAAAGCTTTCCAGTGTGAACTGGACTGAGACCGACCTGGAATGTTCGCTCCTACTTCTCTGGTGTCCCCCTGCCAGTGACAAGACTGAGCTTGCCAGTTCCCTCCTACTTCCCTCTGCTCACCCCGCTGCCTTTCAGGGTCCCTGGTGGCCCTACTGTTTCCCTGCTAGTCCTTCAAACTCTCGCCAAGCTGCTCTTCCGGGTTACCCCACCCTGGCAGTTTTGTCCTGGACGACCTCCGCCGACATTCTGTGGACCTACGATATGCAGTCCTTCAGACTGAGGGGTCCATCCCCACTTCCACAGTCATCGTCAATGAGGCCAGCGGTAGCCGCACCATCCTGCACGCCTATAGGTTTGTACACGTGTCCGCTTTGCCAGCTGCCGCCGCCGCAACCATCACCACACCCTCAGGACAGGACCCTTCTTCTCTCGGAGGCCCACGTGTTCCCGTTGGCCCTCCCCACTCCTGGGGGAGGTCTAGGATTTGTGTAGCTCTAACCTGTGTCTCCTTGCCTTCTCCCTGGCTCGGGTCCCTCCCCCAAAGCTTCCTGGTGGCTGACTTCAGGCGGAGGGGAGTGGATGTGTCTCAAGTGTCCTGGCAGAGCCAGGGAGATACCCCTTGCTCTTGCTGCATCGTCAACAACTCCAATGGCTCCCGTACCATTATACTCTATGACACGTAAGGGCCCCTTGGCCTTGCCCTACCACAACCTACCAATCAGTGCCCTCTCTCACCAACTGGCCAGACCAACTGCTGTCCATCCATGGCTTCTCCAAAAATTGACACCCTCCCCGCAATGCTAAACTGTTCGGTAATTTTTGAATTGTTTTCAATTAGGGGAGAAGTGAGGTGGGAGGGGGTCTTGGCTCTGCCCTGCTTGGTAATTTGCCCTCGATCAGCACAAGGGTGGGCAGGCAGGCCTGTAAAAAACGTAATTCATGATATGATTGTTTCATAATCGGTCAATCAACAGCTTGGGTCTGGGTGTATGGAGATGGGCGACAACCCATAGAAAGCCTTGACAGGCTAAGGGGCCCACTGAGACTTCCTGGGTCAATCCCAGAGTTTCGAGCCTGCAGCATGGCACCAGGAGCTGAGGTTTAGGCCTCTCCAAAGCGAGTGGGTGTTCACATACTAGAGGTGACTTTTAGATTAGGCAATCTTTGTGATCTACCTGTTAAGCAGGCGATGATCGGCAGCAACTCCGATCAAGGGCGGGCACATGATACTCTCGGGCAGGGAGAGGAGGTGCTGAGAAGAAAGGTTTATTGCCCTCTGGCCTGGGTCCAGGCATATTCACATACATATCTCCAACTGCAGAAGTCCCAAGAGACTAAGGACTTTCAGCCCTGTGTGCCGATAGGAAAGCAGCCCCAGAAAGGCCCACGCCACTAGTGAAGTGGATGGAAGGTTCCACAGCACGACAGAGAGAACATAGGTGTGCAGCCAAGGAGTGTCAACGCTTTTCTGGGTCTCCACACCTAACCACGCCGAACATACAAAAACTCTTCCGCAGAGTGCCAACTTTGACCTTACGGATAAAGAATGCAGGACAGGGTGTTCTGTCACTGGCAAGCTCCCAATTAAGAGAATCTGATTAAAGAAAGACAGTGCGGAGCAGCCTTGGGCTTTGTAGTTCGCGAGGCCATTGCATGCTGGGGGCTGTGTGCTCCCAGTGAGGGGCCTTCTGGGAAGTGTAGTCTCCTGCATTCTTAGCGCATTCTGGGGCAGGTGGTTTCCAAAGAACACGGAGCTGGCCTCCTTTCACATGTTGCAGTTGTTTTTATCCTTCGGTAACCCCCTCCCCCGCCCCCAACTCAAAAAGGGCACCTCACCCTAGGATCGGAGACCCTGCGCTCCCCAGCTTCCTGCCATGCTGCTGGTATCGCTACTAGGCGCAGGGTCCTTCAGAGAACCTGGCCCTGGCTGACCTCCTTTTTTCCCTTCCCGTCTTGTGGATGTAGGAACCTGCCAGATGTGTCTGCTAAGGACTTCGAGAAGGTCGATCTGACTCGGTTCAAGTGGATCCACATTGAGGCAAGCCCTTCCCTGTTTCTAGGAGCTTAGCCTGCAAGGCCCCTCAGCGCGGTCAGCCTCTCCCGTGATTTCTTTGAACCATGCAGTATAATAGGGATAATGAATAGCCCTCCCCTATCCCTCTCCACCCTTCCTTATGAGGACACTGAAGCCCAGAGAGATGGGGAGATACAGCAGCATATAGGCACAGATGGACCGGGCCAAAGACCCCCCCCCCCTTTTTTGTGTTAAGGGTACCTTCCTCCTGGAATCCGCCTCTGCAGACTTCTTTCACTTCTGAGAAAACAGAAAGTAGAGGGCCTGGAGGGAATTAGAACTTTCTTTCCAAGGGAGAAGCTTTGGGACCCAGATGACAGGAAACCTTGAGAGGTCCAGGGTTCCAATCCTAGTCTTGTCGTTTGACTTAATGTTGCTTCTTCAGGACTGTCTTCATCTCCATCTCCTCTTCAATTTTCCTTCTCACCTCTTCTCTCTCCCTTCTTTGTTCTCATTCTCTCTTTCTCTCTCTCATTTGTTGTTGTTGTTATTTGCCTTATTATTATTATTTTGGTTTTGGTTTTTTGAACAGGGTTTCTCTGGGTAGCCTTGGCTGTCCTGGACTTGCTCTGTAGACCAGGCTGGCCTCAAACTCAGAGATCTGCCTGCCTCTGCCTCCCCAAGTACTGGGATTACAGGCATGTGCCACCATGCCCTGCTTTTTGCTTTCTTGCTTCTTTTTCTGCCCACTGTCTTTCTAGAGTCTTACTGTGTAGCCCAGGTTAGCCCAGAATTCACACTCTTCCTGCTTCAGCCTCCTAAGTGCTGTGGTCACAGGCATGTAGGCCTCATTCGTGAAATGGCTGATAAGGCCTCCACAGTCCATGACAAGCCTAGAGTTATGCAGCTTCTCCGGCCCCTCCCCCTCCTCACCCAGAGTTCCACCAGGGAGAAAAGAATGGACTCTTTATCAGCTAGCCTCTGAGCTACCCTGTCCTGCCCCAGGGCCGGAATGCATCAGAACAGGTGAAGATGCTGCAGCGGATAGACCAGTACAACGCCAAGCAGCCTCAGGCGCAGAGGGTCCGGGTGTCAGTGGAGATAGAGAAGCCCCGAGAGGAACTCTTCCAGCTGTTTAGCTACGGCGAGGTGGTGAGTGCCCTGCAGCTTCTCTTGGCTATCTCTAGCTAATGGGGTGTGTGTGTGTGTGTGTGTGTGTGTGTGTGTGTGTGTGTGTGTGTGCAGGTTTATTTATTATGTATACAACGTTCTGTCTGCATGTACAGCAGAAGAGGGCACCAGATCTCACTATAGATGGTCTTGAGCCACCATGTAGTTGCTGGGAACTGAACTCAGGTCCTCTGGAAGAGCAGCCAGTGCTTTCAACCTCTGAGCCATCTCTCCAGACGACTAACTGGGTTCTTAGAAGAACTAGAGAGGACCCTAGTCCTTCCTACCAGGCTCTGAATAGCAACCCGGGAGGTTACAGCTCCCAGGTTGTAGCAGTTATGGTAGCTGGGTTGTGGTGGCCCGGAAGTAGAATTTTCCTTCTCAGGCAAATATATAGGAGTAAGATGGACAGGGGCTAGATTAGCTATGGGCATTTTCTTGCTTGCCCTCCTCAGCCTTTCCCTCTGCAAAAAAATGAAGAAGGGAATGGATCTGTTCTCTGAGGTTACTTATAAAATTAAAGTATGGTCCTAGCCCAGCTATGCTGACCTGACTACTTCCCAGCCACATGTCCCATTATCTGCCCTGGATGCTCGTGCTCTCTGCTTTCTTTGTCTTCATAGTGACGCTCTTTCTCTCTGCTCTCCCTGGAACCCCCTAACTGGGGTCTGAAGTACCACCTCAGCTCTCCTCTCCAGCCCAGCTATTGGCTGTTTATCTCTTTATTAACCAATCAGAGATGATGGAAAACAATTTTTACAGAATATTGAGACAGGAGAGGCTTCAGCAGTAATGACACAGACTGCAACCAGATCTCTGGGCGCAGAAATCAGCACCTGGATGCGGTGTACAAGACCATCCCCCCAACAGTTACCAGTTTTTTTTTTCCACTTAGGTGGCAGGTGGTAGGTTTGTTTTGTTTTGTTTTGTTTTTGCAATGAAAGGAGAGTGGGGAGACTTGTACAAGGAAAATTTAAACTGGGCTGTGTGTAAAGGAAATTTAGGCTATAATCCCAGTAACATTGCTAAAGCTAGTTGGACAATGTCCAGATGTGGTTTGTTGGCCTTGGTGCACAATTGAAAAAAAAAATGGCAGGCTGAGCCCTACTCCCCCAGAACTATCTTAGGTGCTCTAACTTGAAGCCACTGTGGAGAGAGCCTTATTTTGCAGATGAATAAACTCACTCTGATAGGGCTCGCTGTGTGATGAGCAGAGGAGACAACTCACTCTTGAGAGCCAGCCTGGCTCGATTTCACCCCAAGATGGAGCTCCAGGCTCTTTCTGGATTTTGAACTCCCTCATCCTAGACTAAAAACACCAAGGGCTACAGTGCCACAATTCACAAGGCTGTATTTTGACACAGCTAAGCAAACGTGAAGTGCGTCCCTGTGGGACACTGAGATGCCATGCTGGGGACTTACATGACCGAGTTGGAGGAGTTGACACACCAGGCTGTTGGTTGTTAGAGGTGGCTGCCAGTCTCTCTCTCACTGCCCACAGGTGTTTGTCAGCAAAGACGTGGCCAAGCACCTGGGGTTCCAGTCAGCGGCAGAGGCCCTGAGGGGCTTGTACAGTCGTGTGAGGAAAGGGTGAGTGGGGAGGCCAAGAAGGGGCCGGGGGGTCTGGGGCATGAAGTGGACTGACACTGATCTGAGTGGGCCTCACAGGGCGACGCTGGTCTGTGCCTGGGCTGAGGAAGGTGCTGATGCCCTGGGCCCTGACGGCCAGCTGCTCCACTCAGACGCTTTCCCACCGCCCCGAGTGGTGGACACTCTGGGGGCCGGGGACACCTTCAATGCCTCTGTCATCTTCAGCCTCTCCAAGGGTGAGCCCATAGGCCTGGGGTCAGGGCAGGGCTGGGCCTGCCACTGTCCCGAACGCCGGGCTGACCCTGCTACTTGTCCTTTCTCCAGGAAACAGCATGCAGGAGGCCCTGAGATTCGGGTGCCAGGTGGCTGGCAGGAAGTGTGGCCTGCAGGGCTTTGAGGGCATCGTGTGAGAGGTGTGTGGTGAGAGGCACCGGCTCAGCACTGCAGAGGCTGGCACCATCACCTACCATTGCCTTCTCCACGTCACCCAGACTGGCGTCCCACTGCCCTGTTCCCTGGGCAGGTGTAGGCCGTGGAAAGGAGGCTGCCTGTGTCTGTATTTCTGTATACCTCTATCTCTACTCTGCAGATACGTGGAGCAAATAAATCTTCCCCCGAGCCAGCTCTGTCTGTCTGCTTGACTGGTTTTTGTTATTGTGAGTTTGTTTTGTTTGTGTTTGGTTTTGTTTTGTTTTCTGTGTTAGATAGGGTCTGGTTGTTTGGCCCCGGATGGTCATTGTACTGGTTGTTTTGTGCGTCAACTTGAGTCATCCGAGAGGAAGGAGCCTCAGTTGAGAAAAATGCTTCCATGAGATCCAGCTGTAAGGCATTTTCTCAATTAGTGATCAGTGGGGGAGGGCCCAGCCTATTGTTGGGTGGGGCCATCTCTGGTCTGGTGGTTCGGGTTCTCTAAGAAGGCAGACTGAGCAAGCCATGGGAAATAAGCCGGTTAGCAGCGCCCTCTTTGGCCTCTGCATCAGTTCCTGCCTTCATGTTCCAGCTCTGCTTGAGTTTCTGCCCTGACTTCCTCCAATGATCTGGAAGTGTCATTCCTTTCCTCCCCAACTTGCTTTTTGGTCATGGTGTTTTGTCACTGAGAAACCTTAGAGTCATGAACTTGAAATCCTCCTGTTTCAGTTCCGTTGTACTGGGTTCATTTGTCCTTTTGTTGTTGTTTTGTTTTGAGACAGGGCTTCTCTGTGTAGCCTTGACTGTCCTGGACTCACTTTGTAGACCAGGCTGGCCCTGAAGTTGCAGAGATCCGCCTGCCTCTGCCTCACCTAATGCTGAGATGACAGGCATGTGCCACCATGCCTGGTTTCATTTGTCCTTGCTACTCACACCACAGAGGCTGAGATTCCTGAGGCTTTGACCCTATAGACCTCCATCTTTTTTCCACCTTCTTCATTCTTCAAGTTAACCCCACCCACCCAGGCCCAGAGGAGAGGCTGCATAGACTAAAGCAGTGGGCATGCTCCACCCTCCTCATCAGCTGTCTGCAGGAGTTTCATCCTGGCCAGGAAGGACAGCTCTGTTCTCACAGCAAGAGAAAAAAGCTGTCCAGGCCCTAAGCTGTGTGGACTATGTGATAGCCACGGTGTCAGGGAGCCTGCTTTCAGGGTCCACGGGTCTTTGTTCAAAGCTGCCTTTGTCCGTGGGGTTCCCAGGAATCTGAAAGTCCTCAGAGCTTACCTTCAGTCAAGTGGGTACTTTGACCACAAATATAACCTGATGCAGAGCACTGCTGTCTCTTGGGGAGGTTAGATCTGGTGACATGGCAGGGTCAGATTCTAATATGAGATTTGGGATAGCTGGGCAAAAGCATAGGCTTCCTTGTCACACAGACATGAATGAAAATAAGTTACTTAATTAGGTGTGTACCCTCTGAGTGTGCATTGCTTAACTCCATTGTCTTCAACTTCCCCTCTGTCAAATGGACTGGGTTTTTGCGTGGCCATAGAATTGTTGTGAGGATAAAAATCAGATAAAATATTAGAGTAAAATGTCAGCCTGAGCAGGACGTGGTGGTACATGCCTGTAATCCCAGCACCTAGGAGGCAGAGCTGGTCTTTGAGTTCCAGGCCAGCCTGGTCTTCAAAGTGAGTCCAGGCCACACAGAGAAGCCCTGTCTTGGAAAACAACAACAACAAAGAAGTCAGCCTGGTGCTTGGTGTGCTTGGCGAGGAGGAAGAAAAAAAGAAATTGAGAGGATGGTTATTAATGCCATTATTGGAGTGGGAAACTGTGCAGGAGTGTGGGGGACCATCTGCCTGAGCTATGGGGAGCGCAGGTCTGAACACTAAGTCAAGGGGTTAGCTCCGGAGTGTTTGTGCACCCAGAGAGACTAAGCTTTATTTTTTGATTTGGTTTTTTGAGACGGGGGTTCTCTTTCTAACAACCCTGGCCGTGCTGTAACTCACTTTGTAGACCAGGCTGGCCTTGGAGCTCGCAGGGATCCCCCCACCTCTTCTTCCTGAGTGCTGGGATCATTGGTGTGTGCCACCACTGAGCTTTCTTCCTGGGATTGTTGCAGCTGGCTTTGGCTAGTGCGTCTCAGCGCTCCTGGCCAGAAACCCCAGGAAAGCTGAGTCTCTGTCCCTCCAAGAGGCTTGTATAGTCCCCAGACCCTTGTGTTCTGAGGCAAAGGATCTGGGTGGGCTGGACCAAGGACACATGGCCATGGAGACAAACTCATTCTGTTCTTTATTGGTTGGTTGGGGCCTGAGCGCTGCCTTTCAGCTTAGCGTCTCCCTGAGCTGCACAGAAAGTCCTGCTTCCTATTGAAGGCCAGAAAGGAGACATGGGAGTGTTTGTTTGTTTGTTTGTTTTGTCTTTTGCCCTCATCAAGACAGGGTCTTACAGAGTAGCCCAGCCAGCCCTCAACTCGCTATATAACCTAGACTAGCCTGGAGCTCTCAATTCTTCTGCTGTAGACTTCCAAGTTCTGCGATTACTTCCACCACCATACCCATGTCAGAGGTGGCTCTTATCCCAACATATTCACCCCACTCTTCATGCATCCGCTCTGCACTGAGATTCTGAGGGAGATGAACCTGTGTTGTCTAGTTCATATCTCATCATTCTCCAGCTGAATACTGTGAGCCTCAACCTCATTTCGAGTGTGCATGGTCTCCACTGTTTCCGCTGGCAGTTCTTTGGCTGCCCCTTCACTGTCCTTGCTCTCTACCTGTCCCTCAGCATCCTCTCGGGGAGCCAGGACAGCTCCTTCAGCCTCTGCCTGTCCCCCAGCCTCCCCTTCAGGGCCTAGAGTACCTACTTTAGCCTCCGTCTGATGTCCAGCCTGCTGTACAGGCTCCAAGGAGTCTCTTTCACCCTCTGCCTGGCCCCTCATTTCTTCTCTAGCCCCCAGGGATTGCTGGGTTTCTGGTTGCAATGGACTGTTGGCTAAAAGCCCTCCAGCAGACTGTGGCTCCTGGAGAGCTGGGGGAAGGGAGCCTGCATGCTTGGGGGCCTCTCCTGGGAAGTTGATGAGCTCTGCAGGAGTCATGAGCCCATCTCCATCCAGGTCCTGAGTCTCAAGCACCGTGTCCACTACAAGGATCACCTGTGGAAACAGTTGCCATAGATATTTTTGGGAACCCAGCCCCTCCCCAACAGCCTCACTTCTGCTGCATAGGATCTGAGCTTTCATTTTCTGGGGAGTCTGTCAAAAGTCATGACGAAAAGAACCAAAGCTCCAAGGAGCTAGTCACTCATTGTTTCCACTGGTACTTACCGGGTTGACGGGAAAGTGTTCCGCTCCAGGGGCCAGAGCTGCTGTCAGCATGGACAACAGCTCCAGGCCATCCAGCTGTCCATTCTGGTCATAGTCATGAAGAGCAAAGAGGTAGAGCAGGACTAGGGAGGAGAGTCTGGGTCAGACAAGGCAGGAACACACAGAGGCCAGCACTGAGCCCCAGTTCCATTCCTAGGAGCACCCCCAACCCCAGTGTGGAGCCCTAGCCCCTCACCTTCCTCCCGGTTCATGCGCTCTGGATCCTCTTCCATCTTTTCTAGTCCCTTGAGGTAATTCTGCAGATGTCTGTTGAAAAAGTGGCAAATCAGCCAGGAGAGTCCTGTTTGTGACCCAAAACCTGAGCAGTTAACACCCACAGAAAACGCCCAGCTTACTCACCGGAGCTGCTCGGGGCCTGGCTGGAAGGGATTGGCCATGAGCTGCTGTGGTGCATCGGGGTCAGGCCTAGAATGACGAGAGAAACGTCAGCCCAAGGCTTAGCTTAGCAAATTTCTCCCCAACCCAGAGTTGTCCCTCCAAGTTCCTGGAAAGGGCTGTATGGAAAAAGCTCTCCGGGTGTCATTGGAAACAGAACCTTACTTCCTGACTGCTTTTTGCAGTTCAGGTGTCTTAGTTAACTTCAGAAACCCAAGGAAGGGACTGGGGAGATGTCTTAGTGGTTGAGAACACTTGCTGCTCCTCTGGAGGGCCTGAGTTCAATTCCAAGTATCCATACTGGGTGGCTCACAACTATCTATAACTTTAACTTCAGGGGATCTAAACCCTTCTTCTAGATCCTGCAGGCACCCCCACACTCATGCACACACGGACATACACATATAAATAAATATAGAATTAAAAAGAAAATGCCTAGTGAGGTTGAGGCCACCATGGCAGACACACAACAGAGGCCCAAGACAATGGTCCAGTGAGTGTCAAGACATAATAGCCTCTTGTGGTATTCCTTCTTCAATGCCAGGATCCACGGAGCAGATCTCAGGCCGAGGCTGGTAGCAATGCCCAGGTTTCTCCAGACCCAGTTTGCTCCGTGACACATCATTGTCTGTTCCTTTTTTTCAAGCGGAGAGTATGGATGGCAGTCTGCCCAAGGTCTCTAAAAAATGTATCACTACTTCTGCATGTGCTTGCTCACATCCGCCTGGAATGGCAGAGGTGACAGGAGTTATCACAGGCACCTCAGTCACTGCTGCCAGCCCTCCAAAGCCTGTTGGGGCATCACTCCCCTCAGCCCCACCATCTTGCTGTACATACTGATTGTAGAAAGCAGCTCTAAGGTGACTTCAAAATCCTTCAACATTTGCTTAATTAGAAAGAAAATGTTCCAGGTTAACAGATTTGAGCTTCATAAATATAAATTCTGGGCTCCCATAAAGAAAGAAAGAAAGAAAGAAAGAAAGAAAGAAGGGAGGGAGGGAGGGAGGGAGGGAGGAAAGAAAGAAAAGAAAAAGAAAAAGAAAAAGAAAAAGAAAAAGAAAAAAGCAAGCAGCTCTAGTAAGCCAGAAACATAAGCTAAGGATCCCTATTTCCTGTGTATTCCCAGTGTCAGTTCTTGATTCTAAGATGACAGCCCCAGTCTCAGTTTCTAGCCTCCTCCTGATGCTTCACACCAGCCTGGAGCTGAACCCCTGGCTGCAAAGGGGGTCTACAAGCATGCACTAAGTCCCTCCTTGTGGCGTTCTGATAAAGAGAAGGCAGAAAGGTGATGTGCTCAACACAAATGAAGGAAGCCATACTTCTGCAGGCTCCTGGCTCTCCAGAGTCCTGACATCTTTCCAGAACCCTCCCTATGCCCAGTCCTACCCACCTAATGCTCTTACCTTGCAGCTCCATCCTTGGGAGCAGCTTGACCCAAGGGGAGCAGCAAAAGCGGGAGCATCAACACTTGCATCGGCCACTGCAACATCCTTCTGGAGACTGGAGCTAGGAACAGAATCAGGAAGTCAGGGGAGGGGTGTCTGCCGCAGTGTTTGGGGGGCAGTTGGATCAGACAGGAATGATGTCTGTCCTTGCCTGTGGAAACAGGCAGCATAGGAGAAAGGACGCCTGATTGGGGAGAAACTACATTGCACATGAGCAACCTTCTATGGAACTTTGCTCAAGATAAGTCCCACATATAAGCAGATATAAAAATCCTGCTTTGGTATGTAAAGTGCACTGTGGGAATTAGCTCTGGGTGTGAGGACACCTCCTCATGTCCCATTGGCCCTGCTTAAGTACTGCTTGAATATGTCTGCTCTAGAGCAGGCCATATTATTTGCAGATGGTAAAAAGGATAAATCAGAATGCTGGGACTCACTGAAGATTGACATGTATACAAAGAGACAAAGAGCAAGATGGACTGAGTCTGTATTTATGAAAACCCACTGAGGCCTGGTGTGGTGGTACATGCCCTATAATCCCACTCAGAGTCTGAGGCAGGAGGATTGTGAGCTCAGGACCAGTCTGGCTGTTTCTACATTATGCAGATTTGGAAATGGAAATATAGAAATGGTCAAATATAAAATAAGTTCATTGAAAACACAAACCATAAAGCTTCCTGGTTTGTCCCAGGGGTGTGTGTGCGTATATATTGTGAGTTTCCAAGGAGATGGAAACCCATCAAAACTGAGACATCCCCCCAAAATCATCTCTGTGCAGAAAAATAAGCAGATGTTTGATGGTCCAAGCAAAGGATCAGGACCTCTCGCCCACAGAACTGAAGACTCAGGCAGTCACTAAATTTTCCTAAAGGACATTTTGTAACTCTCAGCAGATTCTCTAAGAGGTCCTCGATCCTAAGAAGGTCCAGATCCACATCTGGGGTAGCCATCAGTTCTGGAAGAGTTGAGCGGTAGAGCAGGTAAACACTGGCTTGCAGGAAGATGAGCAAAACGTTTGTCTTTTTGAGCTGCCTTGAGCAGGAAGCACCAAAGGATAAAAGTCCAGAAAAAGATGAAGCCATCACAAACATAGAACCTGTGTTCATTTTTCCATTTCGTGTGTATGTCCATGTGTGTGCGTGCGCATATGGAGGCCAGGATCAATGCTGGGTTCTTCCCCAGTCACTGTCCAAGGTCCTCAGTAGTCACCTTACCAGGTGAACATCTCCCAGCCCTGAGCCTGGTTTTTTACATGTGTGCTCAAGATTGGAACCAGGTTCGCATGCCTGTGTTTTACCAACTAAGCCACCTCTCCACCTCCTGCCCTCCCACCCTCATCGACATCTCCGTTTGTCTGCCTGTGACTGGTCCTGACAGGTACACTGAGTATGTACAGCTTGCTGATCTCTAAAACCCAGTGGATAAAGGGATGCTGAAGCCACCACTGCCTGAAAGGTATTGGCAGCATTAGCTGGTGCGTGGAGCCTTGGGTTGTGGTTATACTGAGGAGAGATGACAGGGTCTTGTGGTAAGCATCTAGAACTGAGTTCTCCGTGTTAGCATTAAACCCTCAAAGGGACACAGCCCAGTGACAGGGTGACTTCCAACCTGAAAGTATGATAGCAAATGTTCTAAGCTGCCTACAAGAGCAATGAGTAGCAAGAAATTGTCAGCATACCTAAGCACAGTGGGACCAGTGATGGGGGATGGTGAGTTTGACATCAGCCTTTTCAGGAGTGTCTGTCAAAGCTAAGGCATGTGAACAGCACCTTCAGTCTGAGTGCTGCATGGGGCAGAAGAGCCAGAGGTAAAGCCTGGGCTCGCCTAATGTGAATGGACTAAGAGGAGACTCCGTACATCAAATTGAAATTCCAAATAGCTATGCTTAGTATGAGTGAACCAAAGGAGGCTGGAGAGATGGCTCGGGGGCTAAGAGCAGTTGTTGCTCTTCCAAGGACCAGAGTTTGGTTCCCAGTATCCATGTCAGGCAGCTCACAGCAAGCTGGAACTCCACCTCTGGGTCATCTGATGGCTCTAGGCCAGCCAGTTCTACAAAGAAAGAGACCCTGTCCTATAAAAACCATCGCATCAACAAAACAATAACAACAAATGAGAAAATGTCTAAACTTATCAGTTGTTAATTACATTTAAGAATTTTAATTTATTTTACGCATGTAGATGTTTGTTGCATGTGCCACACGTGTACCACATGTGCCTCATGGCTGCAGAAGCCAGAAGAGAGCATCAGATCCCCCTGTGACTGGAGTTACAGACGGTTGTGAACCACCATGTGGGTGCTACGAGTTGAATCTGGAAAAGCAGAGTCCTTAATTGCTGAGCCATCTTTCCAGCTCCCTAAACTCATAATATTTAAGAGGGAAAATGTGAGCTGGGCATGGTACTCCCAGCACTCAGGGAGGCAGAGGTAGTCAGACCTCTGTGAGATCGAGGCCAGCCTGGTGTACAAAGTGAGTCCAGGACGGCCAGAGCTACACAGAAAAACCCTGGAGAGAGAGAGAGAGAAAGTGGGCAGATTTGAGAATTTCAAGTCTAAATTTCTGCAGTCATGGAAGTTCAAGGAATCGAGGGACAGCAGTTTGAGTTTGGAGGCCACCCGGATGCCTCAACCGGAAGTGGAAGGCAGAAATGTCAACAAAAAGCCAAGCTCTGCAAATTGGTGCCTTATTTCTTTCTGGAGGGCTGGAGAGAGATTAGAGAGGAGACTCTGTCCAGACACCTGTGTGGCAGGTGGCTGTGGGCTAGAGAACTAGATGGCAACCTTAAAAGCTCTTTGCATGCAAAGTCTCTGGAATAAGGGTGGGCCAGCGGGGGTCCAGTCTCTAATATAAAAAGAGGGGCAGCATAATGGTTGAGAGAGCTTGCTGTCAGAGTGGTTAGAAGGAGAAGGCCAGGGTGTGTGGACCTTGGCTGCATCAGAGACATGACGCTATGGTGTGTGGTCTGGATGTGCTTTGTTCTCTAAAAGTCCTGTATTAAAGGTGAAGGTGGGATCGCCAGCTTGGCACTGCTGGGAGGGGGCAGAAACTCAATCCCGGGCTGGGTAGGTGGCTCAGGTAGTAAGTGCCTGCTGTGATGAGGACTTGAGAGCCCATCCCCAGCAGACTTGTAAGAGAGGGCATTGGGAAGGGGCTGGGGAGGGGAGGCAGAGACAGGTGGATCCCTGGAGCTCACTGGCCAGGCAGTTTAGCCAATTAGTGAGCTCCAGGTTCAATGGGACTCTGTCTCAAAAATTCAGAGAGAGAGAGAGAGAGAGAGAGAGAGAGAGAGAGATTGAGGAATACCTCCAATGTCTGCCTCTGACCTCCACACACACATACACAAACAGCAGGCTCTGCCATGCACTGGCTGTGAGCTCTCTCTGTCTCAGGTCTCCCAGGCTGACAGAACACTTCCCCAGGGCCACAATGGTGGCCTGTATGAGACCAGGCTTACGCCTTCCTGAAACTGTCCTGTCTGTTCTGCAGCGGCTTCATACATTCCTTCCCTCCTGGCTTTCAAGTTGCTTTCTCTTCCCCATCTGTTCCCGGCCCAGCAGCAGACTCACACAACTGAAATCCCTCAGGGCTGTCCATACGAATTATCTGGACTGTGCCTGTTGTCACCCAGCAAGGTTGCTTTTTACAAGAGTATATTAGAGCTCCAAAGACAAACCCTAGTTGGTGGCAGTTTGGGGCCAGCAGGAAGTTCCCACTCATCCAGTCACTCAGGCTGGCTGCAGGGGGTCCCAAAAACATGCTTTCAGTTTTGTTTGTTTGATTCTTTTTTTCTTTGGAGGGGGAAGTGGTTTGTTTATTGGTGGTGGTGGTGGTGTGAGTGTGTGTGTCTGTCTGTCTGTGGGCATATGTACCCAGTATGCATAAGGAGGTCAGAGAACAACGTTCAGGAGTCGGTTCTCTCCTCCCACCATATAGGTCCTGGGGATCAACTCAGGTCAAAGGCCTTTACTATCCAGCTTCCTGGTCTGTGCCTACAATTTGTTTTTACTCTCCTTCCCTGACCCTGGAGTCTAATTCACCTTCTCTTCTATGTTTGGCCTTAGTGACTGGCTTCCAGGTGACTAATTTGGCTGAAAAGGCTGCCATGTCCAAGCAGTGCTTCTCTGTCCCCAAACCAAAACCAAAAAAGCCCCTTAGAGATCTTGGGACCACCCTCCCAACCCACCAGACAAGTCAGAGAATGAACCTTCCATTGGAATTGTGAGCCTTCAGGCTGTCCTCGCCAGCAATACAGATAGAAGAAAGCTGGTCTCCACTGCCCTGCCTAGACAGCATCCACCGGTAAAGCTAGGGTTATCATCTGAAGCTACAAAGTTGTTTTGTTTGTGTGGTTTAATGAAACAAGGTCTTGCTATGCGGCCTAGGCTGGCTTTGAACTCATATAGCTCAGGCAAGCCTTAAACTCACTTAAATAAAATCGTCTTGACTCAGCTCCCAAGAACAGGCATTATAGCCATGCAACTCCACACCGAGCTCTGGTTGTTTTCATGAAACAGGCTGTCTCCCTATGTAGCCTCCTGCCACGTGCTGGAATTACAGGAGTGGGCCACCATATCCGGCTATGATGTGCTGCTTTTTGGCTTGAGGGTTCCCACAGTACTGAAGCATCAGTGTGATAATCTAGTCTGCAGGGCAGGCGCTGGAGCAGCTTTCATCCATGCACGCAGCATGCCTGATGAGGCTGGAAAGCTTGAGACCATTTGTAAGCACTAGCAGAAAGAGAGCGAGAGCGCCTGCCATGGATGGAGCCCCTCTGAAGACCTGGGGGTAATTCTACTTAGCCACACAGGCCTTGCTGTCTGTTGCTCTGCTGGAGCTATCTTGAAAGTATCAACCACTTCTGCTCTGGCATCTAGAAATCATGTGCGGATTTCTGAGGCCTCCCTGTGTGAATCCGTACTGCTGTCCCCTTCTCTGTCCCGTGAGTCTCTTGTACATGTAACTATTTAGTGTTTACAGCAGACAGAGCCAGGAACCAGCTTCATGGGCTTGCAAGAAATAGTAAGGACAGCGAATTCCTCCTCTCATGCACTCTGTCAGCCTTTTACTGCTGTCCCAGCCTGTGGTACTGTCTTTATACCCACATCACATAAGTCTCCCTTTGCTAGAACTACATTTCCAAAAACTGCGTGTTTCCAGAAACATTTTTTAATTATTTATTTTATTGGTGGTTTTATGTGTGCTTGAATGCAGGCCTGTGTGTGCCAGGATGCACCTGTGGAGGTCACAGGCCAACTCTTGGGAACTGGCTCTCTCCTGCCACCTTGTGGGATATCTGCTTTGAACTCAGGTTCCCTGGCTTGCTTGCAAATACCTCAACCCATTTTGCTGTTTCATTCAAAACCTAAAATAACAACAGGTCCCTGAAAGATGGCTCAGCTGTTAAGAACACTGGTTCTGTTCCCAGGACCCATATTTTAGCTAACAATTATCTGTGACTCCAGTTCCAGGGGACCTGATGCCCTCTTCTGTCTGAGTAACACAAATGTTATGCAAACATACATACAGGCCAAACACCCACACATAAAATAAAAACAATAAAGGCCGGGGGTGGTGACACACCCCTTTAATCCCAATACTTGGAAGGCAGAGATAGGTGGGTCTCTTGAGTTTCAGCCCAGCCTGGCCTACAAAGCAAGGTTCAGACCATCGAGGGCTACAGAGAGACCCTGTTTCAATTAGTTAATTAATTAAAAAATCCCACAGGGTCTCATGTATCCCAGGCTAGCCTCTAACTCATCATGTAGCTGAGGCTAACCCTGAAATCCGGATCCAAGTGCCAGCGTTACAGGTGTGCCCACCACTCCCGGCAACTGCAGGATGGCTCCTTGATTTTCTCATAGTCCAGAGCGCCCACCTGTGCGTTCAGGTTTCCCGCCATCTTTATCTCGTCCTCCAGTGCTCCATTCTGCAAGCACTGCTTCCAACAGCGGCACACTAGAGTTTCTTACTTTTTATTTTGAAGTGTTCGGATCCAAACATGTTCTGCCTTCAGGCTGGACCCTCTTGATGGCCTTAGCATTCCGTTGCAGTCTGCCTCTGAGATTAAAAGCACTGCACGGGGCCTTTGAGTCTAATGTTCTCTTGGCGCCTCTGGGCATCGTTTAAGAGAATCGAGCCAAAATTTCAACTGAGGTGTAACAAGGGCAGTGTGACATGACTTGCTCATAGCTACACCATTTTAAGTCCTTGTAAGAGCTTTTATAAGTAACAGAAATAGAGTGGTCACTGAGCAACTGTTAGTAAAATAAAAATGGTCCTAGCCATTTTCTATAATTATAAGAAGCACAAACATAACTACCCTAATGAACACTTGAAAGCCACCATACCTGCTAGTTAACAGTTGTGATATAATTCAGTAAAGTTATTCAAGTCACACACACACACACACACACACACACACACACACACACACACACAGCTACAATGACCTTCTGCCTTCAGTTTCTTTAAGCCTTTGCCCTAGGAGGAGACTTTGGCCTTGAGGTTGGACCTTTGTTCAGACCTTGCACTGTTATGTGGTCCAGGCGGGGTGTCTCTCAGCCCACGCTGTGGCAGGGGGGTCTTTGAAGGCTTATCTCATATGGCTTCCCATCCCGTGGATACATCTCTTTTACAACATCTCTATCCGAAAGCCATAATGCCTCTCCCGAATCTTTCCAGAAGCTGAAGGGCATCCATTTCATTTCTAAACAAGTGGAGAACTTACCCGAATCTAGTCGTCCCCCTTGATTTAGCCCTTTAGTGGTCGGTTCTAGGGAGGGGGACTCTGAAATGACTGCCGCTGTGCAGCCAAAGGGGCACACACCTGAGCTACACCGTGAGCAGCTACCTACAGTTGGATGATGACGGACAGTGTCCTTCAATCATGTCCATCGACCGAATGAGGGGGAACCGCCAGCCAGGGCTCTTGGACCTACCATCAAACCCAGGGCTCGGGGGCGGGGGGGGGGGGCTTTCCACCTCTCTTCTGTCTGCTCTGAGGGATGACCTCTTCCCCAGTGGTACCGGGAGGCTAGGCCACCTCCCTACCGAGCCCAAGCCGCAGGGGATGCGGAGGACTGCGCTCTCTGCACCGTGACAGCAGGCAGAAGGTCTCCACCCTCACCCCCACGGTGCGGGGCACCCCCGACGCCCCGCTGGGCCCCAGCCCCTGCCGGAGTCCGACCCACCTGCTGCGGCTGCGCTGGGCGCGACTGGGGCTCCCGCTTCGTGCGCGCTATAGGCACCGCGCCGCCCTCGCCCGGCTGCCCGCAGCCGGCCCTCCCCCGGGCTGCTCCACGTGGCCGGTCCACGTCGCCCTCCTGGCTGCAGCCGCCGCCCAGGCCCGGGCAGAGTCCGGAGCGAGCGAGCGACAGGCACGGGAGGGCCACCGCCCCGCCCTGCCCAGACCTGTCCCGCAGCGCCTCCACCTGGCCTTGTTCCATGTGGGTCTGAGGGAAGATGGATGGGGTCCTCAGTGTGTGTCAGTGTGACCTAGATGGAGAGGGACCGGTTTGTGATTTTGAGTGTGACAGACCGGTGAGGCGGAGTGTGTGTGCACGACAGACGGGAAAGGATTTGTGAGCATGTGTGTGGGTGGCTGGTGAGGCATCGTATGAGACACATATTCAAGAGACAAGACTCAGAGCAGTGAGTCCGGTTTGTGGATAAGGCAGAGTCACAGAGTGGTGAGACTAATTGTGCACGTGTGCGTAAGAGAGAGACACTCAGAGATAGAGGGATGAGGCGGGGTGCTGTGTGAGACAGACAGAAATAGATACGACCAGACAGAAATGAGGCTGCTGCTCGTTAGAAATGTGTCTGGGATTATGCTGTGGGCACTGCTGGCTTTCTCTGAGAAACTCGTTTGTGACTACATAGAACATGACTTACTGTTAGCGTGTGGGATTGTGGCCTTCCCTGGAAAGAACACCGTGGCCGGTACACGGCCGACTATCCAGGAGTGCGATGGTATGAGTGTTAACAGGTTATATTTGTCAAGGCATCGGAACAAACGCCTCTCAAGTTGTTAGGGCTGAGATTCCTGGGAAGGTATCACTGTGGCCCTGGGACCATCCACGTCTCCAAGGAAGAGTTTCCATGTGAGGGGAGAGGCAGGCGGGTCAGGAGTCAGGAGAAACCACAGGCACAGTTGCTTTCTAGCTGTATGGCCACAGCTTTTTGATCACAATGGAGTGCCACCGATTTTTCTCCCAGTGGAGAGACCTGAGCTCTGAGCTCTGAGCTACATCCTCACCCACTGGCCCACGGACTTAGGGGTTTTGTTGTTGTTGTTGTTTTGTTGTTAATAATTTCATGCCTCAGAACCTTTAGTCAGCAGCAATCACAACCACAAGCCCTTCAGACTGCCCTTCCTTTGGGGGACGCCAGTTGGGCACTGGCTTGCTGCCATGCTACCGCTCCCCGTGTGGTCGGTTGGTCTCAGTTTTCTGCATGCGCTGGTGTTCCCCGGTATTCCCGTCTCACTCTCCACTTGCTCATGTCTCCATCCGTTCACATAACCTCCATCGCTGTCTGTCAGGGGCTCACATGTGTGTTGCAAATGTTCATATGCTGAAGCTGGAACCCCCAGAACGCCTGACTTGAAAAGAGGGCAATGGCAGACATGATTAATTTAGATGAAGTCATGCTGGAGAATACAGTTCTATTTGACTGGTGTCCATAGCAAAAGAAAATGCTCGAACACGTTCAGAAACAACACCGCCACGGCCTGAAGGATCTCCCAACATGAGTGTCTTGAGACCTACCTTTGTTGTGGTGCTGCGTGGTGGGGGCTCTCAGACATGACTAAGCCAAGAGTTCTGCCCCTGCACGTGGGTTGGCACCCTCATGGGAGAAGCCACAGATCGTTTGTTCCTCTTGCTCTCTTGCTCTTCTGTTCTTCCCACCACGTGAGGACTCATGAATGGCATCATTCATGAAAAACAGGCCACGAGCAGACACTAAGCCATGCCAGCACCCGATCTTGGATCACACTCTGAAGCTGTGGGCAACACATTTTTATTGCTTATAAATTGTCCAGGATAGGCCTGGAGAGACGGGCTTAGTGGTCGAGAGGGCATAGCGTGCTCTGGCATAGGACCCAAGTTCGATTCCCAGCACCCATGTCAGGTGGCTCACAGCTGCCTGAATTCCAGCTTCGGGAGATGTAATGCCCTCCACTATCCTCCCCAGGCACCTGTACTCACATGCACCCCCAGCACACACTCGTGGGCATACAAACACATGCAAAGATACAATAAAATTAACCTTTAAAAACTGTCCAGCAGTCAGGTGCGGTGGCCCACGCCTGCAATCCCAGCACTCAGGGAGGCAGCGGCAGGCAGATCTCTGTGAGTTTCAGGCTAGCCTGTTCTACAAATCGAGTCCAGGACAGCCGAGGCTACACAGAGAAACCCTGTGTCAAAAATAAATAAAATCCAGTGTGTGGTATTCTGTCATAGGCTCACCATGTGAAGGTAGAGACAGAGCTCAGAGTGCCTCTGAACACAAAGGTCACCGACAAACCATCAGAAGCGCAGATCCTCAAGGAGCTAACTCTATGACATCCTGATTCGTGCGTCTGCACTGTAAGAATACATGTCTAATGAAACATCCAGCCATCCAGCCTGTAATACCTTGTAAAACCAACTCAACAAATGAATTTATCATCTAAATGCTGATGAGCCAAGCATAATAGTTTACACTTGTAACCCCAGCACTTAGGCAGAGACAGGAGAATCACTTTAAATTCAAGGCCAGCCTGGTCTACATAGTGGTTATTGGGCCAGTCAGAAATACACCCATTTTCAAAAAAAGCAAAACAAGCTAGCAGATGGTGGGACACACCTTTAATCCCAGTATTCAAGAGGCAGAGACTGTCAGATGTCTGTGAATTGAATTCAAGGCCATTCTGGTCTACAGTTAGAGTTCCAAGACAGCTTCAGCTACATAGAGAAACCTTGTCTCAAAAAACCAAAACAAAACAAAGCAAAAAAAAAAAAAATACAAAAAAAAAAACAAAAACAAAAACAAAAAAACTCAACCCTGCTCCCCCCCCCAAACAAAGCCACCCCAACTAAATGGAAATGACTCTAAGATATCTAACTCCAGTCTAAAAGGCCTAAACCTCAGGAATTCAACATCCTACTGATTTGTGCCTGGGTCAGTGATTTTAAAGAAAAAGTTTACCTTGGAGATAAAAGTAAAAATCAGCTTTGCACAGTCTCAAGGGGGAAGTCCCAGTGCCCTTCAGAAAGCAAACAGGAGCAAAGGCAGGCACAGCCCATAGTCGTTTTCTGAAGGAAAGACCAGGCAGGGGCAAGGCTAGGATTAGCCAGCTCCAGCAATTCGAGAGGGCTCTGGAGCATAAGGCTGTTTTCAGTTGCTTGAAAGAGTGGGCTCTGGGTTTCAGGGGACGCATAAACAACCTGAGCAGACAGCTTGGGCTTCTGATTAATGGATGCAGATAGAAAGGTACAGCGTCTAGGAAAACAGAACATACCAGCATCCTAGTCTAGCATCTGAATGTTTTATCTTCCTCTTCTGGCCTTTCCCTCCTTTGGCCTCCCCACTCCAGGGATAGACACACCTGCCTCTGAGTAGTCAGGAATCTGAGGGTCATCCCTGTTCCTCCTCAGCCTGGCTTCCAGCCCAGGGAAGAGTCCTGCCAACTCTGCTTTCTGTCTTGAGGATCTTCCTTCTTCTTCCTGGTGGCACTGGAGGACAGCCAGCTGTTTTCTGTGCCCAGAGTGCGCTTAACAGTGCCCAGGTGGCCCCTTTGCCTCTGTCTTTATACTCCTTCTTCCCTAAGCGGCCTGAGGGTTTCTCTCTGTTTGCGCCCTTCCTGGCCCTTGCTGGGTTTCCTCTGCCCTCGGGAAGCTGCTCAGCACCTGGTTCTTGACCACCCACACTCAGCCACGCTTATTTTTTGCTAAAAGCCCCTATCCTCCATATTTTCACTTATTGTGGAGCTGGCACTCTCGCCTCCCACCTGCCGGGGAAACCCCTACTTATTTTCCTGCCTCTCCCATTTGGGTCTCGGCATTATTTTCACTTTCTCCTACACAGTAGCAAGGAGTATTTCTTTCTAGTACTGTTTCCTGTCCTAAGAGTTCAGGCCGGAGGAACATTCAAATCTCAGAGGGGGTTTGCATTACATAGGTTGATATACCCATGCCCTGGCTGGTCCCTGGACCAGGAGTGGTAGACTCCCAGATGATTCTAGCCTGCAGATACCAAGGGAAGCCAAGGTTCTACCGCAGACCCTATTCAAGTACCCTAATGAAAACAAGGACAGGATCCCTGGGACGTTTGAATCCGTTGCCTGCAACAGAGCTGATGAGCAAATCATCTGTTGCACCCCTGTTCTGTTGGCGGGGACTGTAAGAGACCACGCAGAGACACTTGACCTAGGGAGTAGAACGTCACCCCTGAGCGGCTGAAACCTGAGTATGTAACCATCTGTTGGGAGTGCTTGTGCCCAGTGTGTGAGGGTCACGGTGAATGGCAGTACTCTGTGACTGAGCAGAATATTCTCACAGGCGTGGCTGCGGAAGCTTCCCAGGCTGCCTGATTCCGCCTTTGCGGTCCAGAGATGGCACGCACCAAGATGGCAGCTGCGGGGGCGCTGCTTGCCTTAGGGCGGCCGTGCTTTTCACCGTCCAGGGAAAGCGGGAGGAGTAGGAGGGCTCGGGTGACCCGGCCAGCGCTGCCGGGGCTTGTGAGGTCCGCGGGCACGGCCAAACACCGCCCCTCGCCTCGGGCCTGGCGGTGGGCGGGGCCGACGGCGGACCCACAGAGGCCTGCCAATGGCGTGCAGGAGGCGGGGCCCCGACAAACCGCAGGCGGAAGAGTCAAAGTTCAGGAGCTAGAGCCAGCCGGGAGCCTGGGAAATGGAACACCCCTACACAACCGAGATGCTGACTTTCTCCCTGGGCCCGCAGAACGGCACCTGGTCAGACACCGCCTCTCTGCTCTTAGCTCTTGGCGTTGCTCTCTACTTGGGCTACTACTGGGCATGTGTGCCCCAGGTGGGTGAGGGCCGAGCTCTGGCCGGCGTGTTTGGGGCACTAGAATGTATGGGGGTAGTCTCCAGCTTGGGCTCGAACCCTTTCTGAAAGCTTGGCTAGATGATTCTGCCGCGCCACTTGAATTCTGCTATTATAACGTACCGGAGAGCCGGTTCCTCCTCTTTCGAGTCTCAGAATCTTCCCCTGCAGCTGGGTCTTTCGAGCACGGGAAGGGTGCTTTCCCTACGTAAGGACTGACCTTTGCGTGAAGGGTGGTGGAGGATACCCTCAAGTGTCAGAGATCGGGGCTTTCTGCTTTCCGCTTCTCTTTAGGTGGCCTAACTAAAATGTGTAGGTTATGTTCGCTAGCTGCACAGAATAGTGGAATGGGTGCCTGTGTGGTTGTGGCGCCAGCTTAGCGGTCCTCTCTCTTGAGGACTGACCGGGCTTCTGGCCAAACTGAGGACAGATGGATAATTCTACCCCTACACACTCAGCCCTGTTCTAAGTTCTAGAGTCTGTGTGTATGCAATGCTGAGAAGTCTTAACAGGTTGTTTTTGATCAATTTGATTTCCTCAACTGAAATGTAGATTATCCAGGAAAGCTAAGGTTTTTTATCTCATTAAAATCTATTTAGGTAACTGAGCCTAACAAGAAACCTATTGATTGAGCTTTCTACAAAAGATCTATAGGAGGCAAACAGTTACTCCTGGCTACAGGAAAGGCTGAGACAGGAGGATCACTTGAGCCCAAGAGTTTTGAGCCACTCTGGGCAACAGGCAATAAGGCAAGGCCCTGTCTGTGCCCACACAGTGAGGTCGTGGGCCCTGTTTCAGAGAACAGAGAACTGCTGGGGCGACTGGCACAGAAAGGTAATGAAAATTGGCAGTAAAGAGGTGGCTCAGTGCTCAAGGGCACCGGGGTTCGGATCCCCACAACTACATGGCACTTCCAGTTCCTGATTGTTTGTAATGGTCTTTCTGGCTTCCCGGCATACAGGTGGTGCACAAACATACATACAGGCAAACATTCACACTATGAAATAAAAAGAAATCTAAAATATAAATAGTAAACATTTTAAAATGTTTAAATATCACATGAAATGCTTACGTTAACATAATCCCTGGACTGCAGTGAGCATTCAATAATTTTCACCAACGAGTTATTATTGTCAATACCATAATTATTAATTCTGCTTTACTCCTGTTTGCCCTGTCTTTGGGCAGACCAACTAAGTTACGAGAGTCATAATTTCTTTGCTTTTCCTCTTATCGAATAAGGTTGGGATTAGGCTGCATTACAGCACAGTGAGCTCATTGTTGCAATTCCAGGGTTTAAGGACCAGGGTCCAAGTCACAGTGTCAACTGGGCCTCTTTAGTGGACTACTCGCTTAGCCCCTGGTAAGTAGCAGGACTGTAAGATAAAACAGGATCTGATTAAATTCCTCACACATGCAATTTATGATAAAAAAATTACTTCCCCCAAACTGGAGATTGAACCTAGGGTTTACCACCCAGTTACCACATCCTAGCTCAGCCCTTCCATCCCACTTTTAAGCTAGAGCCTTCTGATTCTGTTCAGCACACTCTTAAGCCTGTGAGGCTAGGCCCTCTCATTTACTTCATGGCAATGCAGAAACAAGCAAAGAGGCTGAGAGTCAGGGCTTGGCGCCCACTGACCTCATTTGTCCCTATTAGCCTATCACTGTTCCCTTTTCCGCAGTTGGCATGAACAAAGGAAATATTTGTTCACATTGTTCCTCCCGTATAGCATAGCCTAAAATCTGGGCCTCCACAAGAGATGCCCTTATAAAAGAAGCCCTTCATCCCTGAGCACACACGCTGGAGAACGGCAGAAATATGTAGACAGTGGGGTACTAAAAGCAGTGGGGCACAGGAGCTGCCAGAGTGACCGGAGCAAGCTTCGGGGAGATGCATTTGGACACTTCAGCTACAATGTAAAGATCACAGACTGAATGACGCTGACATTTCTTTGCCTGCTCAAGTTTCTCAACCAGGACAACATGGTGACACAAGCCCAGCAGGAAGGCAGGAGGATTAGGATGAGTTCAAGGTCAGCCTGGGCTGCATAGTACAACTTTGTCTCAAGAAACCCAACCGCCCTGGGCTGCAGATGTCCCAGCCCTGAAAAGCATGCAGACCAGTTTGTTTCCCAGCATCCTTTGTGGCACTCTCAACTGCCTGTAACTCCAGCTCCAGAGGGTCTGACACTTTTTTTTAGACCCCACACAAGACCTGCACCTGTGTGCTCATATCCACAGAGAGAGGCACATAGTTAAAAATAAAGCCCAATCATAGAAAAAAAAAAAAAGCAAAGCCCAAACTCTAACCAACCAACCAACCAGAGGACCACAGGCCTTATTGGGGATCGACTGAGCAGCTTATACTATCTGCTCTCCCACAGATGGGTTTGAGGGGACAGGCTGAGTTAGGGATTCAGTACTCAGTCAGCTGCAGCAGTTCCCCCCTTTGGGATAAATTCTGGAGGGGACACTTTAGTACTGAGGTTTCTGGGGGGATACCAGATGACTGTTAGTTGAGGTGACCTGGTCATGCCAGTCTGAGCTGTGCTGCATATTTTCCTGTGGCACAGCAGTGTCCTCAAGGCTGGACTGTTGGGAGGGATCAGTCACCCTCACTATCTCGGACAAGAAAAAAAAAAGAGGCCAATTGTGTTATGTGATTACAGAGGCCTCTTCTGGTAGCTGGGCCCCAGTTTCTGGACTTCCTGGAGCAACACTGTCCAATCACTGTGCAGACTTTCTACCCCACACTGTGGTGTTTTGAGGGACGGCTGCAAACCATCTTTCGAGTCCTCCTGCAGACTCGGCCTGCGGTCCCTTACCGGAGGTAAGGAGGGTCAGAACCGGGTGAACGCGAAGCTCCAAGTATCTAGGCAAAACTGATCCACCTCTTTAAACGAAGGTAACCTTTGCCCTAAAGTGTGTTGAGGGCATGAGACTGGGTCTATGGAAAGGCTCTCTACTGGCACCCACACGAGGTTAACAGTTCACCTACACATCCTATCTGGTTAGCCTTCCTGTTTCATATAAAGCATGCCTTCAGGTAATACTCACAAGCTGCAGAGCTTATGGGTGAGCCAGAAGGGAGAGCTTTGAAGCCTAATTCCTGACAGTGTCTTTGTATTCCTCTTTCTCTTAAACCCCAGCGAGATCCTCCAGACCCCAGATGGAGGCCAGTTCCTTCTAGACTGGGCTGAGCAGCCTGACAGCAGTCCCCCAGACCCTAGCACCCAGCCCATAGTTCTGCTGCTTCCGGGCATCAGCGGCAGTAGCCAGGAGCCATACATCTTACATCTAGTTGAGCAAGTTTTGAAGGATGGCTATAGGTAAGGAAGGGGCACAGAACCTGGGAAGGGAAAAGTGCATCTGGCCTTGACACAGTACTCTTTGACAGGGTTTTTTTTCTGAAGGTTACCAAAGGGGAGGGTCTTCTTGGGAGGGTTTGGCTCACATACCTGTGTTGCCCCAGGGCTGTTGTATTTAATAACCGTGGCTGCCGAGGGGAGGAACTGCTGGTGAGTACCTTGTGTTGGCCCTTCACCAGTTCCCTTTAGAGACCATTGGCCCTAAGGCTCTACCTACTTACCTACCCACTACCCTTCCTCACTACCTCCTGAGCCCTTCCATTTGGTTGCCTTCTAACAAGAGCCTCCCTCCCTAGCCAATGACCCAGTTTGCCCTCAGACCCACAGGGCTTACTGTGCCAGCAACACCGAAGATCTAGAAACAGCTGTGAAGCACATAAAGTGCTGCTACTCCCAAGCTCCGCTGCTGGCTGTGGGCATCTCTTTTGGAGGGTAATGGTTGCCTAGGTTTCTTCCAAAGATCCAGTTGTTCATCTTCTGCCATTTCCTCCTCTTCTGCCCCAATTTACTCAAGCCAGCCCTTCCTGTGGCCTTCATCCGATTTTACAGGATACTGGTGCTGAACTACCTGGCACGGACTGGGAAGGCTGGAGGGTTGGTAGCTGCACTGACAGTGTCTGCATGCTGGGACTCCTTTGAGACCATTGACTCCTTGGAGACCCCACTCAACTCACTGCTTTTCAATCAGCCCCTCACTGCTGGCCTCTGCCGGCTTGTGGCCAGGTAGGGCGGCAGACACACCAGGCTCTGCTAGTGCTTGCCTCAGTTCCCCTCTGGGCTTTTCTTGACGAGGTAAGAAGACAGAAGCTGTGGGCTCTGGGTTAAGTGCAGGAGTCCGGACAAACCCTGATGCATTCTTTTCCAGAAACAAAAAATCAATTGAAAAGGTGTTGGACGTGGACTTTGCTATAAAGGTATCTTTCAACCACCCCCTTACCACAGTATTGGTCTCCTATTTTCTTTTTTTATTTTATGTGCTTTGTTGCGAGGGTGTCAGAGCCCTTGGAACTGGAGTTACAGCTGTGAGCTGCCGTGTGGGTGCTGAGAGCAGAACATGCTCTTAACCACTTAGCCACCTCTCCAGCCCCAGTCTCTTACTTTCTAATATCATAGCCTATCATACCTCCACCACAGGCCCGCACAATCCGCCAGCTGGATGAGCGCTACACATCTGTGGCTTTTGGGTATAAAGACTGTGCGGCCTATTACCAAGCCTCAAGCCCAAGAACCAAGGTGGACGCCATCCACACCCCTGTTCTCTGCCTCAATGCAGCAGATGATCCCTTCTCCCCATTCCACGGTGAGTGAACCACAGAGTTGTACTGAGGTACGAGCCTGGGTTCTTGGCATAGGGGAGCTTCCTGACCTCTTCCACTCCCTCCCAGCCTTCCCTCTGCAGGCTGCCCAGAAGTCTCCTTATGTTGCACTGCTCATCACAGCTCGGGGTGGCCACATTGGCTTCCTGGAAGGGCTGTTGCCCTGGCAGCACTGCTACATGAACCGTGTCCTCCATCAGTATGCCCGAGCCGTTTTCCAGCACTCAGTGGAGCTGCCTGACCTTGGAGCACTCACTCCTGAGGATGGAAAGAGCTGACAAGAGGACTGTTTGGGGTCTCGCTTCAATCTTTCTCTGTTTATTAAATATCAACTCTTCCTGCCTAATAAGCTGAGGTTCACTCTCCCTTACCTCAGGCCGGAGTAGACCATCCAGGAGCTTACTGTGTACCTGGCTTGGCTGGCTTGGTGCTACTCACCTGAGCCAGTAGATCATGGCTACCTGAGTCTTCCTTTTGCCTCTTCCTGCCCTAACAGCAAGTGCCAGTCCAGACTTTGTCTCAACAAAAGCCAAGGACCTTGTGTAAAGGCTGTAAGGGAAGGAGGAGAAACAGTTTCTGTAAGAAGGATGGCAAAGCCTCCAGGCTCTAGAGCATCTTCACATAGTTCTAGAAAAGGAGGATCTCAACGCTGGAGGCCTAGGAGGCAGAGGGAAGGAGGCAGGTGGTGTGGCCTGGGCTTCAGACCACACGGTCCTGCATGGATCCACAGGTGATGAATGCAGGGCTCCCACAACTCAGAGTGACAGGGGCCACAGGCAAGCTTTAGCTGAGGGACACGCAGTCCCTGTCAGTCTCCTCGGAGGCAGTCTCTGCCATGGACCTCAATGAATGTGCTCTGGACGGTGGCAGTGTCCAAGCCCGACTCCCTTGGTCACAGGAGGTTAAAGGAAACCTGGAAAGGCACTCTGAAGCAGCAGGATGGTGACAATGATAAGGCCGACACACAGCAGGAGCAGGAGCCACACAGGAACACTCCCTGAGGGTGGGACAAGGGAAGAAGTGAGTGGGCAAAGGAACCTCAGAGCTTGAAAGCCAGAACCTCCCTTCCAGGAGGGACAGATGGAGGTATACAAACAGTCCATTTTCTAGGGGCCAAGTTTTGCTATAGCTAAAGATGAAGTGATAACCCCTGCCAGACACATACATAACACAATGACTCACGCCGTGAGGGCAGCAGGTGCAGCTGGCAACGGCTATCCACAGCCACAGAGAAAAGGGCAGTTTCGTGGGGCCCAAGAAGCTTTGGACCACAACCCTTCTCAGGTAGAAAGGTCACATCTGTCACCACAATGCCATGGGCCTCCTTCACATAATACAGGCGCTGGGGAGGAAGACAACAGTGAGAAGGCTCCTTTTTGGGAAACATGTCCCACAGCCCCAGCAGGCTTCCCCTAAGGACAGGGCCAGACTCCTTCCTGTGTAGGGCAGAGTAAGCCTGTAGCCCTCCCATAGGGTTGTGCCAACCGCTACCCATTACCTGGAGAGAGAAAGCTATGTAGATGGCGACAGAGCCAGTGACCGTGCCTAGGCCTAGGAAGGTACCCGATTCACTGTAACATACAACAAAGTATTCGTTGTTCTGGAAGCTTCTGCACAAACCCTCTCACCCCAACAGCAGTCCTTGGGAGACTCCGTCAGGGCTCATTCCCCAGCTCCCTCAAGCACCCGCTATCTAGCCAAGCAGCACCTCACACCTGACACTGAGGCAGGAGATGACTTCATGGCCACAGGCCCTGGTCCGAAGCGGCAAGAAGGTGGAACTGTCCCAGGCTGTGAGGTAGCAGGGCGGGGGCTGTCGCAGGCGCTTGTGGGGTATCTGCACTGTGAAGAGTCGTAGACCACCAGGCTGATCTGGAACCTGCCCAAACCTGGAAAGTAGGCAAAAGGCTTTTCAGCTCGAATTAGCTCTCAGGTTTGTGCCTTGCTGTACCCTGGTCACACCTAGAACAACCTCCAACATGGCTACAGTCATCGCCGGCCCCCTCCTGCCCTCTTCCCCACTACAGCTGAGGCGTGCCTCTGTTAGCCACCCTCTGCAATCTTCCCACCTGCAGGCCTGGTAGCGGTATGGTGTGTCAGGAGAGGTGGGTCCCTCCTCTTGCCATTGTAACTGTGTCACTAGTTGATCCTTGTGCCACACGGAGGCCTTGAAATCCCAGCCCACAGTAACTAACTGGGCAGGAGTAAAGATTGCAAAGATGGACAGTTAGCACATCTACTTCCTGGGCATGCAGCATAAGAGCCTCCCCTTTTCTGCACCAGCATGCCACACCTCCACCTCCTTACCTTGCCATCAGGACCCAAAGCCAAATCTCCAATCTCTCCCTCATGGGCTTTGAACTCCAGAACTTTCTCCAGGCTAGGTACCTACAGCCAAGCCAGTATCATGGTTACAGACCAGTGAGCAAGAACAGTACGATTGACGGGCGCCAGTGGCACACGCCTGTAATCACACCTGTAATCCCAGCACTCAGGGAGGCAGAGGCAGGCTGATCTCTGTGGGTTCGAGGACAGCCTGGTCTACAAAGCGAGTCCAGGACAGCCAAGGCTGCACGGAAAAACCCTCTCGAAAAAAACAAAAGATAAAAATAGAACACTACAGTCCCCATCCCTCCTATCCTAACGGCCACTCACAGGTTTCCCAGAATGCATATTCAGAGTCTCACAATTCTGATGTTAGTGTAACCAACATCCATCTCCCTTAAGCCCCTAAAGCCATACCTTCCAGACACGAACATGACCATCAGTCCCTCCAGTGGCAAGCAGGGTATTATCATGGTTGAAGCACACAGCTTTCTGCAGTGGTTCAGGGCTGAAGTCTGTCTGTACCGCCTCCAAATTCTTTACTCTGAGTTCAACCCCTTCTGGGCGAACTTCCACTCCCGATTTCTTCTCAGCTGGAGCTGCTCCCTTCCTCTGCCGAGGCCCCTGCTCCTTGGAACCTGCAACACAAAAAATTTGCCTGGATCCAGACTTCTGGGTTGTTTTTAAGTCAGGGACTTGCTATATAGTCCCGGCTAGCCTTAAATATCCTCCTGCCTCCACTCCTAAGCACTGAGATTACAGGTGCACACCACCACACCTAACTGGACCCGGGCTTCTGTACTAATCAGTATGAGTCCTCTGCTGACAGAAGTCCAGAGAGAGTTCAGTGCTGACATCACCCCACATCTAAGCTCTCTTTTTTAGAGACCAAGATTAGTGCGATTTTTCCAAAGCTCCTTACCCGACTTCTCTGCTTTACTGCCCTTCTGTTGTTGGACCTGGAAACGCAGGAGCTGACATCGGGCGTCCTGTCCGGCAGCAAGAATGTCACCTGCCAGCGCCAAGTTCATAGTAGCCCGTGTCTCTGTGTCATGAGAGTGCAGCAGGGAGGCGCTCAAGCACCCGTTGATTTGCTCTAGCTGTAGAAAGTGCTGTGAGGGAACCAAAGCGGACAAAGTTCAGGCGAGCCCGGAAGTCACTTTAAGTCTTAGTCTTAATGGAACTTCTCTGCTGCCAGCACCTCCAGCTCATGTGGTTTGTTGTTTAGAGCTTACTGAATTGAAGCTTCCCAATCCAAACAGCAAGCAGGGCTTAGATTACTAGGTCCAGTTTACAGAAAGAAAGGAATTAAGTCTCGAGCTGCTTGCGGAAAGACAAAACCATATATATGCCTTCCTGGAAAAGGCCAGAATAAGAGCCCTGGGCCAGCTCCCGTGGTCCGGCGTGGGTGGGCAGTCCAGCCTTTGCAGACCTGCACAGCTTTCAGTCTATTTTTGGATGTCTCAACCACTCTGCTCGGGTGAAACCGGTACCCTAGCGTCTATGCGGAGGTTTTCCCAGTAGAAGTAGGTAGGGTCTAAAGCAGGGGTACCGCTCACCCATACATCCCCCGGCTACCACGGAATGGCCCTCGGTCATGGCAGGACAGGCTCTCAGTGGCCCTGCGTTCTCACCACGCCATTCTTTATGCCGGTCCTGGCAGCGCCTCCTCCGCCCGCAGCGATGAGCAGCCCAGTCTTGGGGTCCACCCGAAGCGCGTACAACGGGAACGGGGCCCGGTACAGCTCCACACCCCGGCGCCGGCCCATCCCGCCCGCACGTTCACTGCCAACCCCGCGGAACCCGCGGCATGCCGCGCTCCGCCTTCGAAAGCTGCCGAACTTGGTGCCGCAGTCGCCGAGAAGCCCGCGGACCGCTCGCAGCCCCGCGGGCTCGCCACCACTCAAACCACGGCAGGTATCCGATCTGCGCTCGCGCGACTGACGGGCTTGTGCAGACGCTCAGTGCGCACGCGCCGCGAGCCTCGGCTCTCTCCGCGCAAGCGCAGGACGCCAATCCGCGTCAGCACTAGCGGGACGCGCTGCCACGGAACCCTGGTTTCTAGGATCCGGTTTCTAGCCCCGAGTGACGGCGGATCTGCCATCTTTGTATGGGGCGTGGGAGGTGGGGCTGGAAGAGATCGCCGAAGATCAGTAAGCCTAGAATTAAAAACTTCTCTAATTGGGATGGTCTCCACTTCTGGAGAGACACGCGGACGCAAGCGGAGCCTTTATATGTTACTCCAGAGAGGAAGTGATTTCTCCCAGGTCACAGAGAAGGCGGGGACTCCAAAACAAAGCTGGCTTCAAATCAGTGTCAATGCTTCCTCATATCCTAATATAAAGATATCACTGCACTTTGACAGCAACCTCTGCGGCTGATTGGGTTACGGCTTGACATCCGCTTCTGGAACAGAGAAGTTATGGGTGGCGGTTGGTTGCTCTCCAACAGGTGTCTTCTGTGTGCTGTGCGTGGCACCCCGCCCCTTTAAAAGGTCCCTTCCACCGTATCTGTCATCTATCTATCTATCTATCTATCTATCTATCTATCTATCTATCTATCTACCTACCTACCTATCTAATCTCTTCTCCCTTCTCCCTTCTTCCGTGTGTGTGTGGTGTGTGTGTGTGTGTGTGTGGTGTGTGTGTGTGTGTGTGTGTGTGTGTGTGTGTGTGTGTGTGTGTTGCTTGCAGGTGCTGCCTGAAGCCAGAAGAGGGCATTGGGTCCCCTGGAACTGTAGTTGTAAGCTACCGTTTGGGTGCTGAGAATTGAACTGGAATCCACTGGAAGATCAGCTCTTACCCTCCCAGCCATCTCTCCAGTGGCCTGGCACCTCAGCCTTCTGAGGGAACCTTCTCGTTTCTGGTCTGTGCATGTGCTTGTGTTCCCCTATGAATGAGTTAATAATGTCCTTCCCTGTGAAGAAATGAGCTGCTGCATCCTTGTCAACCCAAGCTGTCCCCTGAGAAATAGACCCATTGGCCTAATCTTTGGTTTCAGTTGTCTTCTACAGACTTGAATAAAATGGGAAAAGAGCCCCTGAACATCTCAGGTACATGGCACTTGCTCTCCTTAATCCTTCTGTCCCCCAAGCCTTTGGGGGGGGGGAGGCTGGCCTTATTCTATAGCCATCTCTTCCATCCTGTGGGCACAGTAGGACACAAACACAAGCTTCTCAGGGTTAGGTTTTATTGGATACACTGAAGGCTAAATGAGGCCTAGCATGTCCTGGTCTCTTCAACCAGGCGAGAGCAGACTCCACAAGGGGTTTCCAGGGTTCAGGGCAGGAGAACACACTTGGCCTCCAGCCAACCAGCCCTTCAAGGTGTCTCTGTGGCTCCCCAAGGTCTGAGAAGTCCTGCTAGGGAGGGTGGGGTTTGAAGGGGGTGTTCCAGGGGGTCTCCGCTGCTCTGGAATTAAGATGGCAACTTTTGGAGAATTGACTCTGGAGACACAGACCCCTTTGGGGCAGGAGAAGGCCTGGGCTTTGAGGAGGCAGTAGCCCGTCTTGGTGCCTGAGGTGGAGGCCTGGAGCACTGGCTGGGTTTTGTTGATTGACGATCTGCAGACCTGAGGCTCCCGGCCTGGAAGAGCGTACCTGTGGTTTGAGCTGCTTGCGCCTGAGTTGCAGGCTTTTGACTCCGGCGGGTCTCTGCCCGAGACCCTACTCCCCCCTGCCTTTTTTCTGGCAGCAGATGCAAAGCCTTGGCCTGGCCCCGAGGGAGGCGGAGGCCGAAGCCAATGCCTATTCGGAGTGGCCCAGATTCCTGGCTCTGGGCACAGGGCAGTAGTTGAGGGAAGGCAAGCAGCCGGGGTCCAGTCCTGTACTTGGGGGTGGGGCAAGATGGGGTGCGGGGCTGCAGGCACACCAGACATACGGGATACTCCACGACTGGTGCCTGGCCGGTTGTGCCTGTCCACAGGCACTGCAGAAACAGCAGCTGCAGGTCTCGGGCAATTCTGCGGTGCCCTACACGAGCCACCAGGGCTTGCGCGAGGAACCTTGGGTCCTTGAATTTTCCAGGGTCCACCTTGCTTGCCACGCATCCCCCTGCACCCCCAGGGGACCTGATGTTTCTGCACTGAGGCCACTGCCATGCTTGCCCGTTATTCTGAATCCCTCGAGAAGGTGCGCTGGGGCTGGGGGAGGTGACGGGGGAGCTATCAATGTCCTGGAGGTGGGAAGGAGACTGGCAAGTCTGAGGAGAGGAATTCTGTAGCTGGGAAAGAGGGGAGGATTGGGTAAGGGGAGGAGAGGGGCACAGAGGGTAGTTGGAGGGAGAGGTCGAGTTTGGAGTATAGTTTTGGTGAAAGAAAGTGGGAGAACTTGGGAGAGAGGAGGGGAAGGGGAGGGGAACAAAGTCAGAATTTGAGTCTGAAGAGTAGACTTGAGGCCCAGGAGAGTGATGGTGAGGCAGAGAAGAGAAGGGGAAACAGGGCTGTGTGGGAGAGGACAGAGGTAGGTGGGAAGGAGGGAGGGACTTATGGGGAGAAAGAGATGCTAGGTTGGGTGGAGGGGAGCCCACAAATTGTGAGAGGACCTGAGGGGGACACCCGGAGGGCGCTGCGTTCAGTAGCAGCACCTGGTCCTTGTTGTGAGGCAACATTGCCTTGAATCCAGGAGAGGAGTGGAGGGGGCGACAAGACCAGCAACAGGAGACCTAACAGAGTCAGTGTGGGGATCTGTGAGGCCAGCTGTGGTGGGTAATCAAGACTGCCTTCCGAGCACAGTGTGGCTGCAGCCTAGCCTTGCTGCAGGGGTCCGCAGCAGGTCGAGGGGGCACGCAGCCTCTTCTACTCGGCTGTGGCGTGCTCAGCCCCGAGCCTACGTCTAAGCTTGGCTCTTTACTTTTTCTTAGCCATTTGCTGGGGATGTATGGAAACGGGGAATGAGAGCTGTCCCTTGGGAGCTGAGGGACAGCTGCAACTGTTTGGGTGTAATCAGGAGGAAGACACAGCCTGTAGGACCTGCAGAGAAAGAGATCAAACGTCGGCACGCCTGGTCCACTTCTGGACTCTGCCTCAGGTCCCCAATTCCAGTGTGAACTCATAAAGACCTTAGGAAGTGAGGTCTTTCGAATGCTGTTCAGCTGGTAGAGTGTTTGCCTAGCATGCATAAAATCCTTGGTTTGATCCCCAACCCCACAAATATGGCACACGCCTGTGATCCCAGCACAGATATAAGCTCAAGCCTAGCCTGGGTTACACGAGTCTGCCTCAGAACAACAAAGACCAGCTTTGAGATCAGAAAATATGGCAAGATGCCCTAGAGAAGGTGAAAAAAAAAAAAAGTGGAGCTTATGGCTGGAAGGAGGGAAGGGCAGAGTTGAAAGAGACAGTATAGGGTAGAGGACCAAGGTGGGAAAGGAACGGAGAGTACTGTGCAGTGAGTTACCAACGTGGATTTCTTCCGCTGTTCCACAAGACACTTCATCAAATAGGGGACCTGGGAGAGAAAACAGAGTCACAAAACAGTCTGTCTACCTCCCTCTGCCTCCAGCCGCTAACCCCTCAAGCGACTCTGACCCAGAAATCCAGTCTGAACGGTGTCCTCAGTCCTTTTTCAGGCACACAGAGCTCTTCCGTGGTACAGGGCTTCGTCCTTCCAATCCTGACACACAGATTTTGTGAGCATCCTGGTTTCCTGGCATGCTTGTTCCCCTGGCCTCTTCTCACCCTTAACAACTGCTGTCCCTCTTGCTCAGCCTGGCCTTGGCTGAGAAAGATTATCAGACCCAGTGGCAGCAGCAGTAGGGCCAGCTGGTAAAAGGCTCCAAAAGGCTGAGGCTTTGCCTAAGGGGCGGTGTTGCCGCCCCCAGTGGGAGCTGAGGGGCTCATTCCCTGAAAGCACCAAAAGACTATGTCCCTCTCTGGCATTGAAAGACTATGTCACAGAGGTCAGATAATGACATCATAGGTTCTGCCTCCCCCCACCCCCACCCCGTGCTCTGGAACTTTCTCAGGGACATGCAAAGGCTGTTTTGGTAAAATTGTCAAGTAGATGGAATTGTTCAAAGCATACCCACAAACCCAGCTCTGCTTCTTCTGCTCATGAAATTTACAGCTCTCATCACTTCCCAGAAGCGAGGCCGAGCCTTCTGACTTCCTCCTTGGTTTTCTTTCTGAGGAAAGTAGCTGTGTTCTGTACCCTCTCGCCCTTGGAATATTACTAGGTTTTAATAGCCATTTTAAAAGATTTTGTTTATTTAGATGTATGTGTGTGTTTGTGTGAGTGTGTGTCATATGTGTTCAGTGTGTCCGTGAAGGCCTGAAAAGGGTGTTGGATTCCCTGGAGCTAGAGTTTTACACAGTTATGAGTTGCTTGAGACGGGTGCTGGGAACTGAATCCCAGTCCTCTGCAAGAGCAGCAGGTGCTCCTAACTAACGAGCATCTTTTCAGCCCCAACGCTATTTTCTTTTTAAAAATTTTTATTAATTTTTTTTTTTGCTTATTCTGTGTGCATTGGTGTTTTGCCTGTATGTATGTCTGTGTGAGGGTTTCTGTTGCTATGACAAGAACACCATGACCAAAAAGCAAGCTGGGGAGGGAGGAAAGGGTTTACTTGGCTTACATTTCCAGATCACTGGAGGAAGTCAGGACAGTAGGGATGGAACCTAGCGGCAGGAGCTGATGCAGAGGCCAGGGAGGGGTGCTGCTTACTGGCTTGCTTCACATGTCTTGCTCAGTCTGCTTTCTTAAAAAACCAAGGACCACCAGCCCAGAGATGGCACCACCCACAATGGGCTGGGTCCTCACCCACCAACCTCTAATTGAAAAAAAAAATGCCCTACAGCTGGATCTCAGGGAGGCATTTCCTCAACTGAGGCTCCTTTCTCTCTGATGACTCCAGCTTGTGTCAAGTTGACACACAAAACCAGACAGTACAGGGTGTCAGATCCCTTGGAACTGTAGTCACAGACAGCTGTGAGCCTCCACATGGGTTCTGGAAATTGCGTCCTCTGGAAAACCAGCCAATGCTCCTAGGCACTGCGCCATCTCTACAGCCCCTAGCTATTTTCTTGACACTAGTGTCTATGTTCACGTGTGAGTTGATGTATGTGTGTGTATACATGTAGAAGCTAGCGCTTGCTGTCAGATGTCTTTCTGGTCTCTTAGAAGTTTACTTTTTGAGACAGGGTATCTCTCTGAGCCTGGAACTTACCAGTTTATTTCCTTCATCTAAGCAGCCTAGCCAATAAATTCCAGTGAGCTGCCTGTCTCTGCCTCCCCACTGCTGGGTTCTGGGGAACCAACTCAGTTTCTCACGCTTGCAAAACAAACATTTTATCAATTGAGCTTTCTTCCCAGACAATTTTATAAAGTATTTTCATGTGCTTACAGCTTGTTTATATTCAAATCTTTGGCCCATCATTCAATTGGTTTTTGTTGAATTTAAGTTTTTATGTGCACGAGTGTTTTGCTTGCATGTATGTCTGTGCACCATATGCATGCCTGGTGCCCTCAGAGGCCAGAAGAGGGCATTGGAACCCTTGTGACTAGATGTACAGATGGTTGTGAGCCACCATGTATGGGTGTTGGGAACTGAACCCCTGGTCCTTTGGAAGAGCAGCCAGAGCTCCTAACTGCTGAACCATCTCTCTGATCCTTGCATTTATTTATTCATTATATGTGAACAGACACACATATCACATAGCACACCCATGGAAGTCAAAAGACAAGTTAGTTTTCTCCTTCCACCATGTAGGTCCTGAAGTAACCAAGCTCACAGCAAGTGCTGTTACCTGCTGAGCCATCTTGCTGGCCCCAATATTTTTTTATTGTCTCCCTTTTGGTGCCCTGAAGCATTTTCACCCCCAAATAATGGACTGTAATAAAATTAGGAATGAGTGAAAGGCATGACTTTTGTAAAACTGGAGAAGGGGAAGCTTGGGAGTGGTAAAGTGCTTGTTGCACAAGCATGGAGACCTGAATTGGGATCCCCAACACCCACATAGAAGCTGGGCATGGAGGCTCACATCTCTGGGCCCCAGCACTGGGGAGCAGAGACAGGTGGATTCTAGGGGCTTGCTGGCCATCCACGCTAGGTGACCTCCAGGTTTAGTAAGAAACTTTCAGTCAATAAGGTGGACAGCAGTTGATGACAACACTTGACACTCACCTCTCACCTTCACAGGCACACGAGGGCCTCTGCACCCTCTCCTACATCTTTCTCCCCTTGGCACACACATGCACACAATAGAAGGGAAGTTATAAAAGGGTGTGTGGTAGGAATGGAGAACTAGTCAAAACTTCAGCCATATCAGTTTTAGAAAGGAAAAAATATAGAGGTTGAGGCCTGGCCACCAGAACCAGCCAGACTTGAGACTTTCAGCACAAAGACCCACAAAATTCCAGATAAACTGGGCTATTTGATGACCCTACTCTTTGAGTCTTTTTGGAAAGCGTGTATATTCTAGGGATATGAGGGCCATAATTTGAAGATTGTTTATATTATAGTATTTGCTGTCTTTTGATATTCATAATGAGGCCCAGTCAACTGTACCTGAATGTATGCTACCGTGGTGCCCATTGGTAGACCCATAGTCAGAACAAACCAGGTGACAAGAAGGAAAACTTTAGCCCTGCTTACTGACCTTCAGGAAGGAGTGAGGAACTTGACACTGAATTCAGTCACCAATGGCCAATAGTGTAATCACTGTGTCCATATGATGAATATTCACTTAAAAAAAAAAAAGCTCTAAACAATAGGGTTCAATGAACTTCTGGGCTGGTGGTCTCATGGAGGAGCTGGCAGGATGGTGTGCCCAGAGGGAAGGAAGCTTCGCATCCCTCACCCTTCATCCTCCATGTACCTTGCCCTAAACAGCTCTTCCCTTTGACCATCCCCAGGTTCTAGCCTTTATGACAAAGTGAAAGCCTAAGATAGGTTGAACCTCAGATTCTGTGAGCTGTCCTGACAATTTGTCAGACCGACAGAGGAAGTCATGGGAACTTCTGGTTCACTGCCAGTTCTTTAGAAATACAGATGGTCCAGGACTCAAAACTATAGGATCTGTCCCTTTGAGCTATGGGATCCAGTGTGAACAGCTCTGGGTGCTAGAATTTCCCTGAATTGTTGGACACCCAGCTGATGCCTGGAGAACTGGAGGAGCTATGTCTGGAACACCCCACACGCGGTTTCAGGAACATCAGAAGAAGCAAAACTTCTCATCCTAAGAATGAAAACCTAGGGGAAGTCCAGTTCACACCGATGGTTTCTCTTTTGTGTTAACTACTGTTCCTAAAACGCTGCTGAGCCAGTGAAAGGAAGTCTCTAAGCACTTGGCAGCAGGTTGCAATGCAGTGTTTTAGTTCACTGGTCATTTCCTGCTGGAGATACTATCTACCACATACTCTTCCCACCCAAATTCCTCCAACGTTAGGCTTAAGAACATCGCGTGCTATTTCTTTCGAATGTTCTACCCTGAAACCTGCAAATGGTTGTTGAGAGGATGGTGAATACGCCAACTGTAGTTGGGTACGAGGGTTTGACCCTATCGCCTTTCCTTCCCTTTTATATCTTGTTTTGATGAGTGGGAGAGGGAGAGGGAGGGCGCTCATATGCTTTGGTGCACATGTGGTCAGAGAACATCTTTCAGGAGTTGG